CTAACTTTGCTTCTTGGCACGTGGCAGGCCGAGGTAAGCATCATCAGCATCAGCGGCTCTTGCTTTTCGTGGACAGTCGGCCAAGCATCGTCAGCATCGGCTCTGCCTGATTTTAAGCCGCCTGCAGACTCAACACCACTTCGGGACAGCCGGCCAAGCCAGCATCATGAGCATCAGCTCGGTTTGCTTGTACCGGATGGCAGGCCGGGAGAGCATCATCAGCGTAAGCTGCGCACCTGGCAGGCCGCGATACTATCATCAGCAACAGCAAAACTGCTCTTTGGGAACGGCCGGCGATGAGGCAAGCATCGCTCTGTGTGATTCTTCGAGCAGAAAGAACTGCGCATGTTCTTTGAGTGCTGCCTGCCTCTCACTCTCCGCCTCTCTGCTTCAGATTGGGCAGGAAAACGCTTCGCCTTCTGAATCGTAATGCTTAAGGGCTCATGGGGCGATTTCGGCCGAAAGCCTAAAGGCTTCGGGGCGCTTCTGGTGATGAGACTGGGGCCGGCACCCAAAATGCCCTGCTCGGACAGAGGAGTGTTAAACCTTCGGGACAGATGGCGATCCAAACTCCCAACCTCAAGCCATCCTACCGCTCATGCTAGTGGCAATCACCATGAGAAACCATCGGCACCGAAGGGGTAAGCAGAATGGTGTTCTTCCGGACTTCGGTGTCAAGGCCCGTTTGAAGAGCAAGCCAATAAAAGCTCTCTGACGAATCGCGCTCGGGACGTCGAGCTGTGGAGTTTTGGGTGAAGGGCACCGGCTTTTCGGCTGGGGGCTTCTTTGAGATGTTCCAGATTTTGTGGGGGGAGTGACGTCGTCGGCACCAGGACGTTGAGGTTTCGGAGCTGCCTAAGATTCAGAAGGGGCACGGTCCTTCGTGCTATTTGTCCTTCAGCAGGGAGTCTTTGCCACTACCTCTACACCACCACTGCCACAACTACAGTTTCGCTACCACTTTCACTACAACTGGCACTTCCACTGCCACTACACCACTGACTACGTCTTCTTTGTCTTCTTTTGCTGCTTCTGCTTCTTCTGCTTCTGCTTCGGGTCCTGCTGCATCGATCAGTCGTGCTTTCATCTCTTCTTCCTATAGAACTCCGTCTGCTGCCCTACAGCTGTCAGGAAGGTCTGTTTCGGCCAGGCCAGTCTAGCGAACTCTGTGAGGCCTGCTGTAACCTTGCCATCAATTCTACAAAGCCCAAGACAAGGACCAAATATTCACCACAAGATTCTGAGGTCCCCTGGCCTTCATACGTCTGAAGCTCTCAACTCTTGGGCGCGAAATCTCGCAGCTGGGGCTCCGGGCACGCGGTCCCTCCCGAACCTCAGAAATTGGAGGTTCATGGGTAGTTATAGGTGGGTTTACAAGTCTCCCAATATGGCTTCTAGTTTTTATTACTTTACTTGTAATTCCCCTTCAAAGCCATAAAACTTCGAGCTTCGGTCTTTCCGGGACCTGTCCAGCTCCGGGCACAAACAGAAAGGCCTCATCTCGATTTCCTTGAGCGTGGTAAAGCCTTACCTGAACCCTATATTACGACTCTCAGCTACGAATTTCTCACGTAGTCCTGAAGAGGTATGTAAATACACATGCATACACACACACACACACATATATATATATATATATATATATATATATGTGGCAACCCCCCCCCAGGACCAAGACATGTATATACATGTATATATGAAGTCGTTGTATATGTCCTGAAAGGGGTAAGTTATTTGGGTGCCATCTTCTGGGCCCAAAACCCTGAAGCCCTGAGCCCCGAAGTCGGACTCAGGAGGCCCAGGCTACCTGAAGCATCCTATGCGGAACCTCGTGGGTTTAGAGTTTAAGAGTTTGGGCTTAGGGTTTAGAGTTAGGAGTTTAGAGTCTAGGAGTTTAGGAGTTTGGGAGCTTGGGTTTAGGGTTTAAGGCTTGAGGCTTAAGGCTTGGGGCTTGGGGTTGAAATCTGAAACCCTCTGGAATTGAACTGGAAACTCGAAGCTTCCAAACCCTCGTCTGCACAAGTCCAAGATTGTAATCTCCAACAGGCCTCAAGAATCTAAGCACTCTCAGTGCCGCTTGGCGGTTTGACTGTCGTCGTTGCGCAACCAATCCATTCAAGCCCCTCGAGGGGAGCCCCCTTCAGAACACATCCATCTCCCACTTAAAACAGACTGACACAACACTCTAAAACCTAATTCCTTTAAACCGTAAACCCCTAAACCCTATTTAATCCGCATCCCCTTTCACAAAATCTTTGCGGAACCCTTGCTTTCGACAACTCCCGAATGAGAATCACATGGCCCGGGCTGTTCACGGAGGTTCATGCTGCAGCCTCGTCGGTGCCGCCGGGGTTAGGAGCTAGGGTCGCCTCGGGTTCAGGGTAAGCAGGCGCCTGGTTCCTGGCGTGTTGTACTTGGAGGTTCATGGGTAGTTTATAAGTGGGGTTTTAAGTAGGGACTATACTTATAACCGATATTAGGGGACTTGTAACCCTACTTATAACTACCCACGAACCTCCAAGTAGCTTTATCAAAGGGCTAGGTTTGATCAAGCGAGACAAATAAACTGGGACTCGGCTCTGCAGCAATGTGGATGAGCTTTGAAGGGCGGTGCTGCGAGCTTACAGAACATTCTACACAATAATATACTAGAATATTCTATAATATACTAATACTGTTACTATTACAATGTACGTATACGGTACTCAAATTACTATGTTGGGTGCCGAGGCTTGGATCGATTGGGCGAGCTGCTGGGAGGCGTCAGGGTTTGAGAGGCATCGGCTGTTTGTAGCAACGTGTTGAAGGCTTCGAGCCCTTCTAACCAAATTGTAACCATTCGAGAATGGTGTCAAGACTACTCCAAGGGGTCTAATCGGGTTGTGAGAGGGTGTTTAGGGCCTTAGGTGGGGTTTCTGAAGTTTGGAATATGTTCTTCAAGGGGTCTTTACATTAAGGATCCTACAGTTTAGTTCGGCCTTCTAGAGAAGTTAAGAGCATTGCACTGGGCTGCGCCATTCAGGAACGGAACTCTGAGTAAAAAGCGGTGCCCAGACCCGTGAGTCCCAAAAGCGAGAATCCGAATCCTTAGTTCGTGAACGGCACTAGTAACTAGTAAGATTTGCAACCGTGCCGCTGCTTCTGAAGCTTCCATCCTAAACGTTCAGACTCCGTCCTTCCTTCTCCCATCAAAGGCTTAAGCTCGGCCGGGAGACGGAAGACGCCACCAAACGCGACATCCTCTCCAAAGAGCACCGCCTGCTTGAAACGAGATCTGATTAGGGCCTCAAGCATTCTACAACTCTGAGAGGAAAACTGTGCATGGGTGCACGAAGAATCCCCATTGATCAGGGTTTATAAGGGTCTACGGTTGCGTGTCATCTTATGCCGCACCGGACCTATCCTTTTGCTGAAGCCTGCAAGTAAACGGTGCCCTTAAGAGAGCACCACAACCAAAACAAATGCCAGTCAGCCATCATCCCACACACGGGACCAGCCGTAGAGCCGAAAACCTGGCATGGCACCAAACCCTCCGACCTGATGCCACTCAGACGAGAGAAAAACAACATAGTATACCCCAAACCCTAACCGCAAAGCTTGAATTGCTAACCCCAAACACAGCCCCAAATGTAAAACCCTCAACCCCTAGAGCTAAAACCCTAGACACCTACGAGCCTGCAGCGAAAGCCTAAACCCCGACGCCCGAAGCCTTGTCGTCCGAGCCGAGAGCAATCTCCATGGCATTGTTGACAGCCTGCCAAATACCCGTGACTGTTTTTTTCAAGGTTTGGGGGTTTAGGTTTTAGGGCTTACAGACAAGTAAGTTGAGGATGTCTACAGGGACTTATTTGGGCCTGTGGAGTTTCCGTATTTCTGCAGGGATTCTGAAGGCCTTCTAGGGGGTTGGTTGTATCAGAGCCTCCGGTAGGGCGCGAGGGTTCAGGATTCAGTGGATCTGGGTTTCTGGGCCAAGGCCACAAAGATCGACAGCTACTGCAGGAGCCTCAATGACATGTATCTATATTCTTTGGTGCCTCAGTAAAAGGCACCGCTTCTAAAGCGTACTCTGATTCTATGTTTGGGCGAAGTATTCTAAAGCGTACTCTCATTCTATGCTTGGGCGAAGCATCAAGATTTCGGCTTGGGGGCCCGAATACTCACCGCAGATCCTAAAGAGACCCAAGCCCACAGGCCTTTGGGAGCTACTATAAGGGCCTCAAGAATTAGAACCAGGTTTTGGGGGCTCCTTATTAAAATTAGAATATAATGTCTACATTAGACTGGCCAGCCAAGAAACCCGGCCTGGAACATGTTCATCTTCGCCGTGGTGCCGGTCGAGAGGCATCTTCGAACGCCTGCAAGAGCAAGTTCATTCTCGAGGGGTGAACCATGTAGTGACCCTTCGGGGGGTAGGGGGGAGGGGCGTAGGGGACTATACTTCCCAAATAGGCCTTAGTAAGTCCTGATATTGGATGAAAGCCCTCTTACCCCCTCCCCCCTACCCCCCTAAGGGTCCTTCTGGTGAACCATAGCAAGCCAAGTGGAGGGCTTTGGCTTTCGGGGCCAAGGAGTTGTGAACGCTTCAGGATTGAGACTACTGTAGAAAAGCGCTTGAAGCAGGGCCGAGGACCAGACCCATGGATGGCTCAAACATGCAACTAATCTTCGTAACCTTATTAACAGGCTGGCTAAGACACGAACGAAAGTAAAGATCAAAAAAGGCATTCGGCGTGAGTCCTGCGATAAAACGACTGTCGCATATCTGAATTCCGCAGCTCGGCTTCTCAACGTGGACTGCATCCTCAGGCTTTAAGCACGGCTTTAGAAGAGATTTTGCAGTTCGTGTATGTTGCAGAACTGCAACATGCCATTTCAGCACCTTTCCGCAGTCCAACAATGAGAAGCCATCCAATATAGGGGCCTGATGGCTAATCAGGACAGGGCATTATATCCAGGAACGTTTAGGAAGCAGTGTATTGGCAATCAACCAGGCCCCTACGTTACGCACACCGGGTCGCAAGGCTTGAAACCAAGTGAAACGCCCGATCGTCCAGTACGGGCAGCACTCGTCGGAGCTGCTGCCACTTCCCCCCAGCTTCACACCTGAACAGAGCGCTTATGGGCAGTTCTCTAAATGGATCCCCAAGATGCTACGGCATCATGTGAAGAACTACTCTTGTGGCATAAGCTCAATACGCCGACAGGCCAAACGCCGGTAGTTGAGGCACCTGCTGACCCGACCCCACTAGAGCCCCACATGCACTCCACATCTTCCATCCATCACAAAACGCTACAGCCTACAGTGCCTACAGCTTTCACCTGCGGTATGTGCCCGCAACCTACTGCTTTCCACTGGAAGGCCAGCTCTTCGGTATCCTGGCCCGAAGCCTTGATAGAAACATGGACAACACCCTCACCCTCATCTCCGGAACCACAAGCAGCAGTCCCTGGGATCCAGTACGCATTGCAAGCCCGTCGCCACAGCAACTTATTCGTTGTTGATTTGCAGATTCGCAAGCCTGACATGCCCAAACTCTAAACATCAAGCACTGCACACAAACCCACAAACTTCAAGAACACAAAACCTGAAAGACCTTCTAGCCTCTCAACTTATGGGGGGTATACCCTTTAAGTCTTAAGGCGGGTGTAGGGCGAGGTATCATTTTAAGCTTGAAAGCTGCTCTCAGAGCAAGCCTGTACCTCGTTTCGAACATGGGATGAGTCTCTATTTGGAAATTTTCACTCCGAAAGATTACGGCCAAGCTTCGCCACGACTTCAAGGTTGTGCAAGGGCAAGTCGGCCTGCCCTGCGCGGAGAGTCTGCTTTGAGGCTCCGTCTCGGCTTGGGGCTGCAGGGCTTTCACCCGCCTCGATTCGGCTTGTGAAGGTTCAGGGCATTTAGGGTCGTTTAGGGTTCAGGGTTTCGGGAGTCAGGGTTTCGACATCGAGGATACGATGGCGACCGTTATGCGAAGGAGAATGTTGAGGACGAGCAAGACGACAACTGTGCCCAAAACAGTGGGAGACCTGCCACACAGGCATCCCCACGACTCACCCTACAGCCACAGCACTGCCCCTGTATGCCTGGAGATGTGTAAGGCCCAACCACAAGCAGCCCTCGACCAGTCCCTCAGAATGCGCTCAGCGACGGCTTCGCCTTGCACTTGCTTATAGGCACTGCAGGCCGTGAGTGTTCGCTGCCACTGCAAAGCCTGACCAAGCGTTGACAAAGGCACTGACTCTCCAATCTGGAGCATGTGGGTGTGATGCTCAGGCTTTTGATATTTCTATCTAAAGCCTTGACCCAGGACCGATCGGGGACTCGAGTGCAGAGCTTAGGGACTGAAGCTAGGAGGCCTTCCAGGGCTTTCGTAGGATTCGCGCGGAAACGAGGAGGCATCGGGTTCGGGCTGCATGGAGCGGCACTGGCACCAGTGCGTTATAGAAATAAGGTAGACATGTTTGCGTGAGTATGCGCATGTACACATATACACACATACAGTCACATAGAGACATAGAGATATAGAGACACGCGGACGGACAGACAGACAGACAGACGGACAGACGGGACAGACGGGACAGACAGGACAGGACACACAGACAGACATGCACGTACATACGTATACATATGTACATATGTACATACATAGGTACAGACGTACAAACAGACGTACAAACAGACGCACAGAGTACAAATGGACGCACATACGTGCAGAGATACAAATAGACACACATACGGGCAGACGAACGGACCTACATATGCAATATACACATACGTACGAGCATACCTGCATGCATGCATACGTGCATGCATCGGAATCACAAATAGTATGAGTATGATTATAATATATGGTTCATGCGCTTTACGAGCACAGCGCACACATGCCTCCAAGAATCTTGTTTTGCTGGGGCTTTGGGTTTCAAGCACCAACTTAGCCCAGATTCTCGGTGCAGACAAAATTATTTCCAAAAGCCTCCTTGCAAGAACCATCGCTATACTTTGTCAAAACCTCGAAAAAACCTTAGAAAACCCCGTTAATCCAGCAGCAACTATTATTCGACCTGTATAGTGTATAGTAAGCCTCCAAAACCCGAAACCCCAACTTTCGAAGTTCCCAGGGCCTTCTGGCAGGCGCTTGCGGCAGTCTGCTGTAATGTGATGCTTCGCTGCAGACGGCGTCGGCCAAACTCTCCGAAGAGGTGGAGGGCGAGAGACCACTCTGAGCCATGCCTTCTGAGAGTCTCACGTTAAGGGACGAAGAACCCCTTACAGCCCCTGTTATGTACAACATAGCATGTACAGACTTGTTTAAGACAAAGGGGGTTGCGTGTTGGGATTTTGGAGCTGAGTGCACGCGACATTAGGTTTTAGCTTCCGGTTTAGGGACAAAGGGATCGGTTTGCAGTCTACCGGCCTTAAAGGCTCGGGAGCCCATCGCTAAAGCATGCTCAGGCATGAAGCTTCGAGGGTTTCAAGAGTTTGGGGCTGCCAGGCTCTTTTTTGGAGGACGAAGAGCTCTCAAACACTTGCCCCTAAACACCCTAAACCCCCCAAACACTCTGGAAACCCTACTTGGAGGTTCATGGGTATAGTTATAAGTAGGGACTTATAACCCTACTTTTTGCTACCCATGAACCTGCAAGTAGGAAACCCCCTCGAAGCCCAGAACCCGGCCTCCCCGCCGCATCGCAAGCGGCGGCCGCCGCGCTCAGGGCCGAAGCGCTGACCGGAAGGCCCGCTTGGCGGAGGGAGGCGAGCAGCCTCAGGGCGACCTCCCGGAAAGGGTGGCTTAGGGTTCAACATAGAATAGGCTCCCTTCAAGGGTTTAAAGGGCTCTATAAGGGCTACCATAAGGATTTAGTGCAGGGGCCTTAGTAGTTAGAATAGGGCTTGGGGGGTACATTCCACGATAGTTATAACCAGGAACCCATAAGGCCTCTCTATTAGGGAGTTTACGGCCTTAGCTTCCGAGGTTTATGGCGTAGGTCCCTTTAGGGTTGAGGGCTTCGGGTTGTCCATGAGAAGGTTGGAGAGCTTCAAGGACTTCCAAGGTTTAGAGACTTAGCTTGAGGTTTAGGGGTTCTGGTGTTTTCGGGGGTAGCGCTCGATCCTTCGGGAAGCACAGGCTTAAGGGCAGACAGGTGGACCCCCAAAGCCTGAAGCCGAAGATCCAATCCCATGATCGGGCCGTCGAGACTTGGTCTGGAGTGCAAGACTTACGGATTAGGGTTTAGGGTTTAGGGTTTAGGGTATTAGGGTATTAGGGTTTAGGGCTTTTCACAGGCCTTAACTTTGCCCTTCACAGCCGCAGCGGAGATGGCCGCGTTGTAGCTCACCTGGGCGGGCCGGGGCAAGTGAAAGCCGGCGACGGGTTGGGTTTCCAGCTTCGGGGTTCAGGGTGCAGGGTTCTGCGGGTTTGAAGTTGACCGTTTAAGGTTTCGCTCTGGTGTTTCAATGGCAAGGTTCCGCGATGGATTGCATGCAGCCGGGTTCAGGATTGCAGGCTTCGGACTGGAAACAGCAAGACTAAGCAACCCTGGATCCTGGACCATCGATGCGAAACCTCAGCTCGGAAAACACAACAGCTCTAAACCATCAACATGCAACATGTAAGGTTTGGTATTAATCACAGCATTTGTTCAGGACTGACATTGGTTTAGGAGTAAGACAATACCAGCACCCCAAACCAGGCAATCATGGCAGCAGTATCTGTTCTGACAGAAGAAAATTCTGGTGATGATGCCGACGCCCCCAGTTCGCACCCAGGAGCTCGATCCGGATGCACGGGCACCTGCGACTGAAAACTGAAAACATTCCCAGATGCCAAACCGGCCCCCAAGCAGCCAAGCTCTGCACCCCTACACTCTGTGCAGACCCTAACCAGCACACGAAAGAGTTGCGTTACAGCTACGCGACAGCCCACAACTAGCTTGAGCCTCATCAGCTCTGTATTGGGTATGTAGGATAATACCTGGAGAACTCTTGGTGGCGTCTACCCGCAGCCACAAACATAGATCAAGCCACGGCACAGAGTGCAGCACTCTTCGGGGCATAAACATGCGTAAGTATCAGAGCTGCTGGTGAGTAAGACGAGCGCGACTCACGCGTGTGGTTTGAAGGACCCAAGAAGTCCCGCTTTACGTCTTGAAACACTCGTGTCGAAATGGTGATGGTGACAGTCGTCGTCGCAATCATCGTCGGCGTCGTAGTCGTAGTCTTAGGCGTGCTCACAGAAGCAGTAATAGCAGCAGTAGTAGCACTACTGTTGATGATTAAATCCTGCATTACCTTCAGGACCCTAAACTATCGGAGTTATGGTATATTCCTTATTATGGGTAATGCAGGATTTATAGCATCAACCGTAGTACTACTAGTACTAGCAGTGGGCCTCGGTCATGAACTGCAACACAGCTATGGCTTTGCGCCACTGGCCGCCTCGAGGGAACGTTCAAGAGTTTAGGGTGTAGGATGGTACTATAAGGGCCTTAATGATTAGAATACCTTGAAAGGGGTCCATAAGGGTTCCTATAAGGAATCTAGAAGGGTACTGTAATACAGGGGCGTTACAATTAGAGTAGGTTTTAGGGCTCATTATACTATAATTATAATATACTTGTAATTGTTTAGGCTCCTGTATTATGGTTTCGGATGTTAGGGTTCGAATCTCAGGCTTAGGGTTTTGGGCATCGTTCAAGGTTTAGGGGTTCTGGTTCTGTGTGCTTCTGCCAGCTTCTTTAACGGGCGCTTCAGCAATCATACAGTATGCTTTAAAGCCCCGCTTATGCCGTTGGACTAGCAGCAACGAAATGCTCAGAAGTTGGCTTCAGAGGACGCCGGGAACAACAGCTCCTTGTTGGCCTTGGAGACTTAGGTTCCGGATTCAAACGGTCAGTGCTTGGAGGTTCATGGGTAGTTATAAGTAAGGCTTTTAGTCCCCTAATATGGGTTATAAGCATGGTTACCGTACTTGTAACCGTACTTATAACTACCCATGAACCTCCAAGTGTTCCTGTTGCTTAGTTGCTTACGGGCGTCGAAGCTGCGTTCTTGAGAATGAGAAAACGACCACGAACTAAGGAACTCACATCACAGTGATCCTTAAACTCCCAACTCCGAGAGTCCAACCTGCAACCTGGATTGAAGGTTGCGGGGTTTAGGGTTCTAGGCTTCAGGGTTTCTCTTGCTTTCTAAACCATGCTCAAAATCACGGCCTCTGCTGCAAGCGCTGATCGCACTGTTGAAGCTGATGGCGCTGCCCCGGATCTTGACCTTCTCGTAGCGGCAGTTCATGGCTTGGGCCTAAACTCGGGTCCACATAAACCCCAAGCCCCGGCTGTAGCAAAAAGCGAAACCTCAAGCCCTCGTAACGCTCCGAAACAGCATTCATGCATTATCCGCTTCTCGGCACGGAGCTCGATCTAACACGGCTTGTAGGGGCCTAAGTTGTATTCAGAAGACGGTTGAACGATCTGCGTATCTACTTAGAATCTCGAACCTCTGAATCGAAACCCGCCTGCATGCCAGCAAAAGAACCTGACAACCGCAGCGTGGATCCGAAGTTCTGCAGCTGCAGCCTGTATTTCCACTATATCCCCCATACTTCTGGAGAAGAAGCAAACCGCATAATTACTCGCATTGACAGGGTTTAGAGTTTCCGAAAATGGGGGACCCAAATATAGTACCCGAAATAGTGGGATCCTTATTAAAAGGACCGTAAAATATGGCAACCCCCTAACTTTCGGAAACTCAGTCCGTGAGTCTCTTCCTCGTGTTCTTTGGCCGGGATGCTGAAAGCATGTCCAGAAGCAGCTGCAGGGCCATGCGCCATTGCCTTCTGCCAAGGTCGCTTTGGGCTACGCTCCGCTTCCTATCGACCAACCCCTAAACCCAGGAAAAAAACCCTAGACCTCTCAATCCAATGCCCAGCACCCCCAAGAGCCTAAAGCCGAGGTAGTCTTGGTCCTGAATGTTTAAGGGCTTGGTGGGGGAAACTGGGGTCCCTTGCCTTCTGTGCGACTTCAGGAAGTCCAAGCGTCCGAACCACATCAAGCTATCGGGCGTGGGATTTTAGGGTTCTGGAACTTCGGACAGGTCGATGAAGAATGGAATGCAAACCTGCAAAACCCTGCAGAACTACACTTCCACCCGGAACCCGAACCCCTGAGATCCCAAACCCTACTTGGCGGTTCATGGGTAGTTCGGGCAGGGTAACGATACTTGAATCCTGACGATACTTATATCCTACGGTGAATATTACGGGACTTATAAACCCCCTCATAAATTACAACTACCCATGAACCTCCAAGTAGGCGAGCCACACCCTGAACCCTGTAAACCCAAAGACTTACAAAGGCCGAAAGGAAACCCACTATGGGATCGGGTTTAGGGTTTATGGTCCCACCCTCCAAAAAAAGCATGGAACCCTTCCAGGGAACCGATTAGGGCGGCTCGAGGCACCCCGCATGCTCGCAAGACCCGATGGCGGAGCCGAAGCTCACGACCGTGCGCTGGACCTGTCGAAGGAGTTGGGCGCTAAGGATTTTGGGGTCCAGGGTTTTTTTTTTTTTTGAGGGCCCTTTTCCTTCTTGCTACAGTCGGAATACCTGGTAGGTGGAGCCAGTTTGAAGGACACTCGGAAGGTTGGGAAATGAGCCCCAGGGTTTAGGTTCAGGGTTTTGGGATTCGTTTTCGGCTGTCTAAGACCTCAGTCCCGAGAGCAACTGAAGAGTGGTCAATTTCGTAAATCTGCAATTGTCAAAACCCAAGCAATACTAGAACCACCCAATGACCCATCTCTCATCACCACCGCCACCATCAACATCATCATCGGTATCACCGCCTTTCAGCCGCATCATAGCCATGAAGCTACCTGAAAACCTAAAGCCCCTGGGCAAAGAGGCCACGACAGCGCCTCGTTGTCCCGCATGATCCCCAAGAGCTCCAGGGCAGACTGCCAGAGCCCCGATGTCTCGCAGGCGCCGATGACCTCAGCGTCCACCACTATAAGGATTGGGGTTCTTATGGAGGTCTTACACATGGGCTCCAAAGAAGTTCCATGAAGGTTATTCAACATATCTTGTGCTATCTTATGTTTACTATCTTGCATACACCATGCAACTTCATGTTCGATACTGAACGGCTTATCTATGTGTTCATTTGTTGATTTGTACCTATTCGTGCTACTACCACCATGTCGTCACGAACATATGTCCATGTGCCTCATCACGTACTCAGATATGATTTGCATGCAGAAGCTGCAGCCAAGTAGCTGAATTCCAGGTGACCTAGCCCAGATGTCATGTGCAGATTTTGGTTGCTGCTGGTTCGATCATGACGGTGTGAGGTTTAGACCTTATGAACTCTGACTGCATGCTAAAATTCAAAAACAATCCCGCAAGCTCAAAATCAATGCAGAATCCGATTTTCCAGAAACGAACAATACTTACAGTCCAACAGTCATCAAGGCTCCCCCCGGAAGGACATGGCGCCTCGTTTGCCACCACTCCGGAGCCGAGCAGCTGCCGCTGCAGCCGGAAAGCCGCTTGCCAAGCTCCTCGGGCTCCCCGGGGTTTGCGGCTCGGTTGCTAGGAAAGCATCATGTACTGTACATGCGCATATATACATGTGTATAAATAGATATATATAGAGACATAGATATAGATATACCTTTATACATATGGGTGGCTGTCAAAATTAGGGTCCCTTTTTGGGTGCCCTGAATGATAGGTGCCGTATTATATCAAGGACCCAAAACGGGACCGTAATTTTGACAACTACCCATATGTATGTATCTCTATCTATCTGCCTATCTACCTATTGTTTGTATGTAGACATCTATCTATCTATCTATCTATCTATACACATCTCTCTGTCTCTCTCCACCCGATCAGGTGCTAATGTGTGAGCACTATGGGGTGCGGCCCCTCTGTGGCATAACAATAAGAGTACCAAGCAACAACTGTTATCACTTCAATTAGGGTTACAGGTCTTCGCGAACATAATTACCTTGGTTCTGCCGTACTTACTAAGACTTACGTCCGACTTACGTCCTCTCACCGACACAGAATCCCTTTGCAGGGGAGGTGCTGCCTCTGGCACAGGCAGTAATTGCTCCGCTGTAACCTGGTGTGGGCAGGCAGGAAATCTTCGTAGGGCAGGTCGAGCTAGTGAAATATCGGAATGAAGAGGCATTGCACCTTGTACTAGGAAGCTCATGGTAGCACCGAGCACATCTCAGCTACTGCACACAGGTTGTTGTCTCCAGTCTGCTTGCCTACTTGAAGTTTTGAGAAGGGGAAGGTGCTCTTCGACAGGTACATGCTGGAGAAAACAAGGCGGTTCGCTGCAAAATGGGATTTGAGCCGATGTCTAGCAATGGACCGCGGCACTTGTCCTACACTAGGATGCCCAGTAACCTAGGAATAAAAAGGGCTCCCTTTTCGGTATTGGGTAACTTTATAAGCAACCTAGGACTACAAAAAGGAAATAAGGGTACTACTGGGCATCCCAGTACACATTGAAGAACCTCAAGCCCTGACATCCTCAACCCTAAGTGCTCTACCTCAGTCGAAATTCCTGGAATCCGAGCCACTAAAAGCATCAGCAGCAGGCCGGCACCCCTGGTTAGAGATTTGCAGACCAAGAGCTTCCGTGCGTGAATCGAGGGGTGCTTTCGTGTGCCTACTACAGGGGCCCTGAATGATGCGAGTAGGGCATTGGTTGTACAGTGTGTTTCTACCATATGACTGTTACCAACAAGGCAGACCTCTTGCGGGTTTAGAGTTTAAGGGTTGTTTAGTGTCTGCCTCTGGCCGGAAAATGTCTGGATCCTGGGGCGTTCCGGACTCAGGCGCCTCCTAAATGCTGGACCCTTCAAGACCCCTAGATCTTCGACTGAAGCTGACACACGCTTCAAGCCAAAGGTGGAGAGGCTCAAGCACCTGAATGGTTACTAGCTGGCACCGGTGATTTTGACTGATCATGACAGTAGTTTGGGTAAACCTCTCGAGCACAGGAACTCTAGTATAGCAAACGACTCTCTGCACCTGCTGCAACCTGTCTAAAGGCCTCCGGTCAGGAGTAAAGAAGAGCCGTCTTGGCGGTCTCTTTAAGAGCAGATTCTGGCGTGTCTGCCTTTGGCTTCAGGACGTGGGCCGTCCAGAGAATCTTCGTTCCCAAATCCGCAAGGCCCTAAAGTGCGACTCTGGACTCTGGGAAACAACAACGAGAGCCACAGGCCTGCTCAAGATCAAAAATGCCCCACCTCAAACCCCTGAATCATCAACCCAAAACCCGAAAGCAAGCAAGCCTATACGCCCTCCACCCCGAAGCCTCAGCCCTTCAACCCATCATGTGCCCGCCTGAAGCGTTGCAACGGCCGCCTCCCAACAAACTGCGCTGGCCTTGCCAGGCAAACACCATCCCCAAGTTGGTGAGAAGACTGGAGGCAGGGTGATTAGCAATAGTAACAATAAACCAAAAAATAGTAGTACCCGTACACACAACAATAGAACACGATAACAGTAAAGCATGAAAACTGGAATACGAATACGAATAACGTAACAAGTGGTATAATGTTCGTAAGAGCAACAACAATAAAAATCAAAGTAGTAATAGTAATGATTGTAGTTGAACAACAGCGTAGTAGCAAAAGTCACTAAACCACCAGGTCTGGGTACCATGCGAACGGCCCCGTAAGGGTCGTAAGCATTATCGTTATGGCCAAAATGCAGCCACCTTGTATTCGTCGTAGCGACGGCGGCAGCAGCAGTAGCAGCGGAAGTAGTCGTCGGCGCTCGCGGTAGGAGTGGTCATCGTCGTCAACGCAGCAGTGCGTAGTAGTAGTAGTAGTAGTAGTAGTAGTAGTAGTAGTAGTAGTAGTAGTAGTAGTAGTAGTAGTAGTAGTAGTAGTATGTGTAGTAGGTGTTGTAGTAGTAGTAGTAGCAGCAGCAGCAGCAGTAGGAGTGGTAGCAGCAGCAGCAGCAGCAGCAGGAGTAGTAGTAGTAGAAGTAGTAGTAGTAGTAGTAGTAGTAGTAGTAGTAGCTGTTGTTGTTGTAGTAGTAGGAGTAGGAGCAGGAGTAGGAGTAGGAGTAGGAGTAGGTGTAGGAGCAGGAGTGGGAGTAGTGGTAGTAGTGGTAGTAGTATGTAGGTATGTATGTACTAGTACTAGTACGTAGTAGGGGGAGCAGCAGCAGCAGCAGCGATAGCAATAGCTGCAGCGACACTAGTAGCGGTAGCGGTGGCAGCCGTTGTGGTGATTGCTACCCTAAAAGCCACAAACTTTGAGCAGGGGCTCGGCAGCGCTGATGATGCTGTTCCGGGCGAAGCTGTTCCTTCGGTTCTGGGCTTCAGGGTCCTTGGGCTTAGGGCTAGAGGTTTGGGATTAAGGGTTTAAGGTTCCGTGCAAGGACAAATCACACCCAAAAGCTGCTGGTTGGGGCTTTAGGGGTTTAGGGTGTAGGCTTAGCCTAGACATGCGAGGATCTTGAATAGAACGATCCGAGCCTCTTCCATCAATCCACCAGTATCTTCACCCTGATCCGCACAAGAAGTTTGCAAGCCGAGAATCAGCTGGATGGTGTCCCCAATCATGCACCTGTGCTCCCCGAAGAAGCGGTCTGGGTACTCGGGCTCTAAATGCCCGGCATAGCCTTCATGCTGTAGTGGTACAAGAACAGCAGAAGCAGCTGGTTTCCCTGGAGTTGAGTCTTGTTCAGGTTCCATGGTCTCTTGTGGCATCGCAATGTATCGTGATTTCTACCCGTCTCCCAGCGCACTGCGCTATACCTCGCTTGCAAATGACGCTTTGAAGCACAAACTGAAATCGAAAAAAAAACGGACGGCGAAAATCCTTTCAAAGCTTCGTGGATGCATGTTTTGGACGCGCCTGAGAAGCTCGGCGCCCGCGCACCACTCGCCGACCAGCTGGGCGCATGGCTGAAAACGTAGGGGTTTAAACTTCAGTTGGCAAGTTTAGGAGCCTCGGCGCCTGCATTCATTCCACTACAACCGGCGAGTGATGAAAGTCTTTTGTCAAGCCACCGGTATCGCGGGCTTCGCATCACAGTGTTGCAACAATCGTTGAGGGGCGAGTACTAGTACCATCATTCTGATTCTGATTCTTGCGGCATTAGATAAACCGCGCTGCATGAAATTCAAACACCCAAAACAAGGAATCAAGCTAGTCCAAAACATGCGACCGATGAGGTCGCTGGGGAATTCACGCCTTCCTTAACCAGCTCTGAGGCCCGACACTCTGCACTCTAACACCGCGAGGTCCCGTGACACACATCAAGGTCAAGGCCTCAGTCGCCGCTGCCCCGGCACTGACAGTGATGACATCGGGCTCCTGCAAATTCTGGCTGCCTTACGTGCCTGTGGGTGCGGGTTGAGGGCTTGGGGTCGCGGTAGCCATATCGCGCTGTCATTCTGATAGATACATGCTGGCGGCTTCAGCAGCTTCTCTGCGAATGCTGTGCCTGCCATTGCTGCAAGTGTTGTTGTGGATGCTGGCTAGAGCCTATGGGGCTTGTTCCAGCTCACGGTGTTCCTGTCGAAGATTCACACATGAATCTTTAGGCAAAGCGCCTACCATATCACCACTAGAAAGGCCTAAAGAATTCGCCGGGAGATTGGGTGGTCTTTAACCCTTATGCCTTATGCTATCCGTCTATCAGGGAACCCGAAGGAATCGTACCCCTCAAAGTCCCTGTACAAATACGGTATTCTAATATTCCCCTAACCCGACTACATATATATACAGGTCACCCTGTATTGAAACCCTATAAACCCTTCTACTACCTTTACAGGAACCCTTGATTCCCTTTGAAGGAACCGGGCCACCCGCAGCTAGGCTTAAGATGACATAGTAATAAATTTGCCATTCCCACTATTTTTCCATTGTACTGCTACTTTTGTGATTCTTGGTGTTGCTATTGCTAGTATTACTGTTGCTTTTTTCGTACTATTGTTCTTATTATTGTTACTACTGTCAAAGTTGTGCAAGTAACTATTGCTATGATTGTGGATACTATTGTTAAAATTGTGGAATTAGCATTGCTGTTATTACTATTGAGTAGAAAATGTGCCGCCGAAAGTCCACTCGTTGCTTCCGCAGGTCGCCCTGAGACGAAGCATCGGAGCTTCGAGGCCGAGATTGCTTCAGGCTCCGGGTCCCTTTAAAGGGATCTATAGGGCTTCTAGGGGTTTAGGGTCCCTTTAAAGGGATCTATAGGGCTTCTAAGGGTTTAGGGTAAGGGTCTAAGAGTTTTGGCTTTGGGGGTTGTAAGGGCTCAAGAGTGTAGTGTTTAGGGTTGAAACCGTTGAGGGGCTAAGGGTTTAGGATTTGAGCCTTTCAGGGTTTAGGGTTGGGGCTTTAAGGGTTTATGCAAGCAGTCACTGCGGACGATCCGGGCGAGATGCACGCAAGGATCCCAGGCTTTAAGGGTTTACGGGTTTTGCTTGATAGCTTCCTTTCTCTCCCCGGACAAAGCCCGCGGTCCAATCTTAGGGGCTCAGGGCCTGTGGCGTCGAGGCTTGATGGCTTAGGGTTCAGAGTTGAGATATGGGTAGTTGTCAAATTAGGGTCCCCTTTTGGGTACCCTAAATACTAGGTGCCGTATTATATAAAGGACCCAAAAAGGGACCACAATTTTGACTACCACGCGTTTCATTCCCCCCAAGATGCATCCGGGATACCACGACCTGCAGAGCCAGCCGCCACCACCCACCCCGGGCGAGCGCAGTGACTGTGCCTCGGCTGGTCTCAGAATCAGAAGCCACCGACCGACAAGAAGGGCCTAGGGACGCAATGAAGCCCAATTCATGCATGCCCGGGCGCTGTTGTAGGTGACAACGTTTGGCAGAACCTCCCAAATCAAACTGACAATAACAAGAAGGAGGAACTGGTTCGTAGTACTGATAATGATCTTAGAAAGGCTGGGACCATAATTTAGGGGCCTTACTAACTAGAGTAGGGTTTTGCGGGTTCCTTAGTATGATTATAGTGCTACATACCCCGAAACCCCAGTCGAATTATTAAGGCCCCTGTATTACACCATAAGCTTCTGCTGGTGAGTGGGGAGCGGGAACAATCAGTATCAATGCCGCGGTTCTGATAAGCAAACTATTTATGTTACACGGCATTGCAATTGCCTTGACATTGCTACTCTTGCCAAAACTCATGCTACCGTCACCACTGAACTTACTGCGCTAACGCTAACTAGTGTTGCTATTCTTGCTACAGCTAGTCAGCTAGTATTCATAGTGGTCATCATACCAAACAAGCTAAGCTTTCTTTTGTTGGGCTCTCAAGTTTACCATCCTTGCATCTTGTACCCGTATTGTTCTTGCTGCCGTTTTGCTGTTCTTACTAGAACCACTGTCCGTACCGTCATCTTTCTTGCTTGTGCGCCAAACCCCCAAAAAGACAGCTACCACTACACACCGGTGATAGCACATAGCACCGTTGCCATCATCGTCCTGGATCGTCAGCATCAAAAGCCAAAAAAATACATCACGCAACCATAACCATAGGCCTGCGTTTGGCCCATCTCCGCCAGAAGCTGCACGGCAGTGTCCCAGCTCCCACCCTTCCTCTGCTACTCGGGTCGAGTTTGAAAGGACTCACTGAAGCAATTATAATAATGATAGCAATAACAATAATACTAATTACACTACTAATGGTAATACTAATGGTAATACTAATGGAGTGTTGCTGCAGAGCAACAAGATAAGAATGGATCGCCCTACGACAGAGCCGTAGCTGAAACCTCCCAAGAGCTACCACCTACAGCCTTCTTGCTGCCTCGAGCTGAAGGCATCCTTTGTTTCTAGGCGGTAGGCGAGAGGTGCTTCTGCCTTCCGGCATTCCGGACGTAATAACAACTAGAATAATAATGATACCAATAATAGCAATAACAGTAATACTAATTACACTTCTAATGGTAATACTAAAGAATAGCAATACTTTAGGGGCTCGAAGAACCGCAACCGCCGAGCCGCTCGCAGGCGCTGATGGCGCTGCTGAAAGTGATGACATCCGCCTTCAGCCGACTCTCGAAGACCTGTTTGGTTCGGGGTCGGCGGTGATAGCCCCGAAAGGGCCCCAAGTCAGTGCTTCAGAACGGTTTGCAACAGTTCGTGGGAGTTTTGGCTTTGGGGCAACAGTCTCAAATGCAGGGCCTGGAATTACCAAAGAAGCAGCCCAAAACCTCGACATGTCTGCACAGAGGTGTGAATCCTACAGCCCCGCACAAGCAACGCCCCAAAGCCTTGACAACATGGGAACCCTGGAGCACTCAAGCTCTCATCCCCACGGCGACCTCCCAACAAGGCACCAACGTTCCAACAAGCCGAGGGCAGAAGCCCTCAATGACATCACGGAACGCGCAGGGAACCGATCGGAGAAGCTCGAGTTCGAAAACCCTGAATCCTCGGGGCTACTCCTACCCCTCATACCCTTCCTCCTCCCAGCCTTCTGCAGCAGTGCTCCCGCTCTCTGCCACTTCGCTCCTTGCGCCTGAGTACCGAGGCAGCTGTTCGCCGTGACCACGTCCGCTTCGACCTCTGGGGTGTATGGCTTTAGAAGGGTCCGCGTCAGGGGCCTTTATCGGTGGAATGTGGACGATTCTGAGGGACACGATGGGGAGCAGTGGTATTGCTGATTGCTGTTCCTTGCCGTCGTCGTCATCGTCGTCGTCGCTGTTGCTACTGTGACGATGTCGCGGCGATGTTCCGTGGGCCTTCTGGGTCTGGAGAGTCTCGGTCAGCTGGAGCGCCGTCTCCTTCGAAGGCAACCAACGGGGCAGAAATTCGTTCAGTCGAGAAGCTGCATTACTCGGCTTCCGATCTGCCGTTGTCGGCCAGGCAAGGGATTTGTATGATTCCAACGTTTATTGGGTTGATGGGTCTAACCACGACCGCAAATTGCAATGTTCACCGGACGAGGAGTGAACACCCTTCTTCGATGATATTCCTGCAAAGATCTTCCTCCTCTCTGGGCCATGACCTCACAAACCCGAAACCCCGTAGTGAAGTAAGCAGGCTGTACTCTGAGGTCTGAGACGAAGGACGTACCAGGAATATCACGACTGTTGATTACCTTAGGGACCCCAAACTGCGGGAATTATGGTATAATTCTTTATTATGGGTCATGCAGGGTTGGTATCATCAACCGTATCACTATTGTCATCATTGTTCTCAATGTCCACGGCCCGAAGCCCTGGCTCAGAGCCATACTGAAGGCCAAATGGGAGTTTCCGAAAATAGGGGACCCTAATATAGTACCCTAAGTAGTAGGATCCTTATTATAAGGACCCCCAAATAAGGTACCCCTAATTCTCGGAAACTCCCAAACAGCCGCAGGACGAACATAGAAAAACCTCCAAAGATTGCCAATTGCGCCAATACTATTGCCGAACCGAAGGCCGTGCCTTTGCACTATTGATCATTAGCGTCCTTGCTGTACGAACTGCTAGTAATATGCATATGTAAGTCAATTGCTCTATAAACTTTCTCACATGAAGACCCAGGATAGGCTTTGGCTGAGTCTCCCAAGCTGCTGCTTTTCGGCATGTTCCCAAGGCCACGTTGTAGTCGTAGGTGCCTTGACTCATGAGGCTCTTCTGGCTTTCTTGTAGGCACCGGGCCATCATGGTTTCGGAAGGTCCGGTGCGACGTAGTGGCTTTGTTCTGGCAAGTGCTCAAAACGTTTTCACGGAGGAAGGAGACTATGCATGCTGGGCATGAGGTGAGATGTGAAAGGCCTGTGGGTGTTGAGGTGCGTCAGGTTGGAGGCTCTGGGAGTAGAACTTCATGCTTTCTGACAACATCGGGTGTGGGGCTCGGGAGCATGCAGTCAAGCTGAAGAAAGCTTGCGCCGTGATTCCTGAACCTTACTCCTGAAGAACAGCATCTCAGCCAACCTCCGGCCGAAATGGGGGTGTATAGTGTATAGCTATGTGGGGAATAGTACTGCTTTTATGTCGAAGCCCTGCTTGAAACTTGAGAAATGATCATTCCAGGTGCTTGAAAGTTCCGATGCCCTGATGGGCGTTGCGCGCGCCGCCATCTAGGACAGTGTAAGTCCGAAACCCGAAGGCCGCACCCAAACCCTGCCGGCTTCGGGGTAGTGGGGTTTAGGGTTTAGGGTTTTGGGTTTAGGGAGTTCAGGGTTTAGGGGTTATCTTCCCCCATATTAATATTGGCATGGAGCCGCAAACAGTGCACATCATAGACTTCTGCATGCTGAATGCGGCGCTACTTGGGTCTCCATATTGCATGTTGTGCCAGGCGTCAGGAGCCAGACCCCGCGGTGAGAACTCTGTGGTGCGGGTTTGGGGAGTTGTGCAGGGTGTGGATTTCCTGGATGTTGGGTTCAAGCCCCTTGGGGGCATTTCGGGGGCTCTACGAGGTCTTTTTGGGGCCCCTTAAGGGTTACTACATACGTTTGGGTTTTGGGCTCACGAAGCTAACCCCCGAACCCTTTGGATTGCAACAGTCACAACAACTGCTGTTTCATTATAGCGTAGCACCTGTCTTTCATCACGACGACTCGTGCCGTCGGCACATGAAGCAGACATAGAAGCCTAAACTGGGGAAACGCATTTGCTCTTAAACATACTCGGGGAAAAGTTCCCAATATATCAACAGCAAGCGCCCACAGCGGCAGAGCGAGCTCCAGGCGCATTTTCGTTTCGGTTCCGCAGCGGCAAGCGACATTGGCAACAGAAGCGCGAGCTTCTCAGAGTATGTAAAAAGATATCTGTACACAAGTCCTACATTTTTTTGTGGTTTACAGGGCTGGCCGCAAGACTAGCATCGGTACCTACGGACACAAGGATAAACTTTCAGACTAATCAGCACTAAAGCATACAAGCGCTAAACCCAAACAGATTGGCAGTCTTGCTGCGTAGTATTGCAGGAATCGAAGTAGAGGGATTGCGGTTTGAGGTCGGTCGGTCGACTGCACGTCTAGGCGGCATGAAACTCTTCTTGCCTGCACACCAGTCTGTATGATTGTATGTACTTGTCTGCTTCAAATCCTTACAATCGCAGAGTGTAGTGAGGAGGTTTACAGTTCTCTCCCGTGATACGAGCACCCTATTCCGAACAGAAACCGGGTCTTTACGAGGCTCAGACAACCCGGCAAGCAAGTTTTCAAACGACTTCGAGCACTAAACTACAAATCCTGAGCCCTATTAGTAGTACTGCAACCTCAACAGCAACCCTAAACCCTGCTTTCTGATTTCTGAGCTCAGACTTGAAATTTTCCGCGAAGGGCTTGTGTCGAGGTTGTCGGCAGCTCCGCCAGTCGTTGCTACGTTGCTACGCTTTAGAAAGATGCTACCCCAACCATATCTGAGTGATGTTGTTACTGTTGTTAGTGCCCCATGGCTTGCACTACAGCGCTTGTCATGATCAGTCTTGACTCTTGACCACCCTTGAACAATCCTGACATCTCCGGGTGTGATGATGGTGTTCATTCGCCCAATTCGCCCATCATGGTCAAATTCCTGATCCTGATCCTCGTTGCGTTGACACGCGCCATGATGACGACGATTGCTGGCGATAAGGGTGGCGGTTTTGTGACCATGATGATGATGATGCTACCCGTATATACGCCGTCAGGACAGATTGGCTCCGCAAGAACACGGAACCCCGAACCCCATACCTTGTCGCACAACAGCTTCAGGCTAACGACTTAGCTATTATTACCATCGCGGCATCATGTTTGCCGAAGCTTCGGTCGCTGGCGAGTTCCTGCCTCCTTTGACCCCGACTACCAGCCGCTCAGAAAGCTCACAGATGGAAGCATGGCAGCCTGCGCTTCGGATAAGGGCTATGGCTTTAGGGTGTTCTGGCTTTGTGCTATATAGGCCGTCGGGGCTACATGGGGCCCAGAGATCAGGTTGTATAGGGTATTTTCTCGGCTTGCCGTTCGGGCCTGTTTACCATCCTCCCGCTAGGATTAGACTGCGCCCTAGCACGCGAAACTCCAAGCAACGCCTAAACCCTGAAGCCCCAAAGACAACACCCGTGTTCGTGTCAAACTCTTAAATCCAAAGCCACAACCAGTTCGCAACCCTTCAGGGTGCCTTGTCAGAAGAAGTGCCGTGTCCGCAAAGGCATGTGCACGAAAAAAACACCAGCCGACAGCCACAGCAACACAGGATCCGGCCAAGCCGCTCCCGAATCTGCCTCTACCAAATGCGCTACCTAATTGCCCTGCAGTAAGAACTGCCAAAGAAAGAAAGGCAAAAGATTACCCGTCAACCTTCAAGCCTCACCATGAAGTCCCCACCATGAAGTCCCCAACTCCCGCGTGGCCCTGTGGCTTACCTGGGCCTCAGCCAGCAGATGGTCTCATGTGCCGGCGAGGAAGAAGGCCCCCTGCTGCTGCTCAGGCACACAACGGCTGGTAGTTGGGCTTGCTCCTGCTGAATCTCCTGCTCCTACTCCTGCAGCTGCTCCTCATCCTCCTCCTACTACTACGACTCGACGGCGACGCCGCGATGACCGCCACGACCCGCATCCAACACCATCACCACCGATATGGCTACGCTACGACAACGGCGACTGGTACTCTTCGTACTGCGTGACTGTGCAGGTCGGGTCCAGGGGCTTAGGAGTTAAGTCTTCTCCTTTAGGAGTGGGTTCCTGCTGAAGGAGCCTGAGCCGCAAGACTGACCGAAGATCTTTCTTGCTGCTACCCCAAAAGCTTTAACGAACAAGGTGCGAACTCCCAACCGTTAAGTTGAGAGCTTATGTGGCTGACCTACGTCTCACAAGCTGTGAGGTTTGAGAATCGGCAGTGCAGTTAAACCGGTCAACATCAATTCCCTGCGCGCTGGCCTCGTAGGGCGCCAGGTGCAGGGGGTCGTTCAGGGTTCCATCACCGTGAAGGACCACCTGCTGTGACAGCACTTACTGCGGCACTTCAGACGTTGGTGGCCTTTCACGGCTTTGAAGTCTTGCGGCCGCTTGCTTCCGAGGATTCCAAGCCCCTAAGCCAGTTCCATCCAGTGGCAGCAGAGCTGATGGAATAAGCTGCCCCGCACATGCTGCTCCCCCGACCGAACAGAGAGATCTAAGGTCATTACTAGCGCTTGGATTACGGGAAGTGTCCCCTCTCTTGTCCCGAGACATGGCAGTGAATAAACCCCGAAGCCTTGTTCTAGTCTTGTGGTAGAGAGCCAACATGTGGCCCACAGCGTCCGAAGTTCCACAGAAACCCCGCAGCCGACGAAGGTCACAGAAACCTCCTTCAAATCCAGGAGCCCCGGAGAGCCCATGCCCCCAAAAGCCTCTCTGGCGATCCCTGCCTTCTGATCCCCTGTGGAGATGGTGCGGTCTCCCGCTCCTGCGAGTGCCGCTGCTCTCCGGACCCTTAGGGCTGAGGCCTCCAGGCCTTCCGGAACCTGGGGCTCAAGGGGGCCTCCAGGCAGCGATTGAAGCTCTCTTGCACTGTTCTAGGCTTAGATCCTGGAGCGAGGGGACTGAACCTGAAAGCTCGGATTTCCAAAGCCCTCAAACTCCCGACCTTGATATCCGACCTACTTACACTCCACAACATGCTGCTGCCGAGCTCCAACAGACCTGCAAAGCCTCCAACTCAGAAATCGGACCCAAGAAACCGAGGCTCGAGGCTTTAGACTCGAGTCGGCTCAGCAAGACGATGGTCATGGCTACTGTCGGGGCCTTTTTGGGGTTCCTTGTTAGTGTATAATGAGCGCAAAAGCCCATTCTAATTAGTAAGGCCCCTATATCAGAGAATCGAAGCCTCTCTGGCTTGCAGCTTGGGGCTGAGAGAAACCTTGAAGGCCTTGGGATCCAGAAGGCAGGGATTGGCAAATCGCCCAGGGTATCCCTTCGAGTCTTGCATTCCCCGATCACCCTACATAATGGCACATACAGATCTATGTAATGTATGCTTATGCACGTATATGTCGGTACATGTGAAATATGCAGGGATGGACACATGCACAAGCTGTTGCAAGATAGTGCCTGCTCACCTGCTTATATATCTTCATCTTCCACGCATAAACGTGAAATGACCAGCGAAACCAGGTCGCTCAGTCCTCTCTGTTGCAGGCAGGTGGAGCCTTCAAAAGCCACCGCCCCTGAGGGATGCATGGCGGTGGGATGCAAAACACAAATCTGCAACCCCGACATTCCAAAAGCCTGCGCTTGAGACCCAAACGCTGTGAACCCTATGCCCTGGTAATCCCGCCGGAGCACATATACAGACTCATATACCAAAACATACACATATGCATCTATATATATATATATGTCTTTACTATTACAAACATATACATGTACCTATACCGGTACTGAAACATATACAGTATGTATGTAAGTATGTGTATATGTACAACCACATCCATACACACGCATTCTGCAATACACATCTAAAACACAAACAGATTGGTCACCCTCCCACTTCAGTCTCCAGCCTGCCGGGTGCGGATTCAAAACCTCACAGCCATCAGGGTTCCGGGTTCTCGGAACGGGCCTTCGTGGGTTTAGCGTTTATATAAAGTGGTTCTTGTCTTCCTCTTTTCCGCTCGGCCATGCAGACAGGAATGATGGACCCCCCAAGCTTCGGAGAAGAAGGCATTTTGGGGATCAGAGCTCTGGGTCAGGGACCCAAAACTCACAAGAATAGTTAGGCGGCCTAATCGAAGTGGCCATGACAGTAGATATCGAAACAGTGATAGATGAGCCAGGATAACATTGGGTCATTTAATGTTTTGCACATCCCAGGACAACGTGACATGATGATACTCGTTGGTAACACTACCACTACGGATGTTGATGTCTTATTGAAAAACAAATGGACACACGTCCGAGTAAACTTTGTAGTTCGTTGTCACCACAACAACGCAGACTGCACAAGTAAAAAACAAAGGAATACAACCTTGGTGATGATCATGATGACGATGATGATGATGATGCTGGTGATACTGCTGATGATGTGGCGATGGTGATGACCAGGGTCGAACATGAAGATGCACCTGATCCTTGTCATTACCATAAAGGCATCAGGAATCATGACCACGACAGTGGGCTATGCATACCTGCTCAAACGAACAAACCAGCATGGAAGACCCTAACAACACTGCAAACCAAAGAACTAAATCCTCAAGCCTCCCTTGGGAGCAGCGCAGAGCCCTAAACACAAATGGAAAGCCTTTTGTAAGAACGAATCGTTGATGATCATTGACTTTGCTACCACCAATCGAAGAGGTTTAAGGGGGTTTTGTCGGTTCAGGCTAATGGTCTCAAGTTTCAGAGGTTCAGGGTTTGGGGTTTAGGGGTTACAGCCAGCATCCAGAGTCGAGGCAAGGAACAGCGAAACCCAGCAGCGCCCCACCCTCGAGATCTTTGCCATCGGAATCGACTGGGAGTGCCGCTGCGGCTTTGGGGTTCGGGGTTTCAGGGTTTAGGGCTTGGGGCATAGGGTTTCCAGGGCATGAGTTCTGCAAGTGATCGACTTTACTTCGCAGAGATATGCAGGGTTCCTGGGAACGAGTTCTTGTTCAGGATCCTGCTATCTAGGACTTCTGGCTCAAGTGTAACTGTACACACCGAGAAGTCGTTCTCAATAATGATTAATAATGAATGCACTCGGTCGGCCGGAATTGGTTCTACTCTGTCCGCTTGTGCTAGATTGCAAGCTCTTGATGCCATGCTTGCGCTGGCAATAATGTCGCGTGTCGCGCCATACACAACCTGAAATAAACCCTTTCTACTGCATCTCATGCAGGCTGGGGCGGCAACCCGAATCTCCAAACTTTGCACGCCAAATCTCCCCCAAACTTCTACATCGTCGCTACACATGCCGGCAGCCTTCCCCATGCACGCATCAATCACTTGGATCCATCGGTCGAAACGTCGTCCCGACGACAGACGACGATACCGTAATCATAGCTTCACCGGCACCCACAACACTGGTATTAGTCCTCGTCGTTGTTCTTGTAAAAATGACAACAGGAGCACAAGGATTTGCCGCCGGTCAACGGTTTAAGCCTAGACTCCTGCCCCCCAAGTTTCGGGTTATGTAAGGGTCAAGGTATTGCATGCTCGGGATTTCAAGAATGGGCAGCGAAGGCATTTGAGACACTGCGTGCCAGGTGCCGTCCAAAGCCAAGTCTTCTAAACAACCGGAGCTAACACCCCAAAAGCCCGAACACGAAGAATCCTGCAGGAAGGAACCTGCATCCACTCTGCAGGCCACACAGATCGTCAGAGGACGGCCGCCGTCCTCGGACTCCATGACCCTGGGCAGCTCGAGAGTGGTGGTTACTTGGAGGGTCGGGGGACTTTTAGTAAGTGGGTAGTAAGTAGACTTATAAGTACCCTTCAAGGGACCCTAATTGGGGGTATGGTACTGATAAGTCCCTATTTTCACCAGTTACTAAGTCCCCCGACCCTCCAAGTAGGGTCAGTGGCAAAGCCTGGTGTTGTAAGGCGTCCATCAGCTGCATTCCAAATGGGTGGTTGTCAAAATTTGGGTCCCTCTTTGGGTCCTTACTATAATACGGCACCGCATATTTCGGGTACCCAAAAAGGGGCCATAATTTTGACAACTACTCAACTATAGCCACAAGACATGACCCTGGTTCCCCCCCCGCCTGATCTCGGTCCGGATGGTCTGCCTTTGCTCGGGAACCAAACCCTCGATCACACCGCGGAGGGCCTGGCAGTTTACGGTTCAGGGCGTCAGTTTTGAGAAGTTTTTGGGGTTTGGGGATCAGCAGTTGAAATCTAGGGGGGCTTCGGTTTCCTTCAAGGGCTTGAAATGCAAAAATGGTGGATCAATCGCCTGCTTTTGGGTGTTTGGAGAGGTCTGGTTATGGGATCGATGGACTAGGGGAAGTCGGTCCAGTTAAGAAACCCCCAATTAAGGTACGACGCTTTATCCCACTCATAGCTACACACGCCCTCAGGCCTTTCGGTAGGCAAGCGCCTCTTTGATGACCATTGACTTCTTCACCTGATCGGCTTTTGAGATTTGGCAGGTGTCCAGGGTTGTGGAAGAGGGTCACGCAATGTTATCGGGGTCTAGATTTCGAATTTAACAATGAATCCCAAAAGAATGATAACTGATAGCAGTTGTGTCATATTACCAGGGAATATGGCAAGAATGACCTGTCTAACCCTTGAGGCTCTGCACGACAGCCCTGCAAACATCTCACAACACTGTCGCAATGTGTGTTTTTCAATAGTCCCTGCATGGCCACAAAACCACAAACCCCTTCTAAACCCCTTGAGGCTTTAGAAGCCACTTACACCCCCAAACCCTGCCGCCTATGGCTGTTATGATATAATGGAGGACAATATACTATCGTATACTATCATATTGATAGTATACGGTAATGTATTGCACTGTAAATAGTGTAGGAAAACAAAATACAACTACTATCATATAATAATACAACAGAACAAAAATCACTATAACACAATATAGTATAGTATCGCATCGTACCGTATGGTATAATATAATACACTACAATACAGTAGTATAGCATAGTGTACTGTACTGTATGTAGTACAGTAGATTTTATATATATATATATATATATATATGTATATATATATATATATATATAGTAAATTGCTGAGGCCGCGTGCATCCTCCGCAAGAAGGAGGACGGAGCCGTCATGCGCGGCCTCAGAGGCTATCCAAGCGGGACTTCTTGCTTTAAGGGTTCCAGGAAGGGTTTTGGGGTTGCGGATTTAAGGCTTCCATGGCTTCAGGGGTCGAGGGCTTCTGTACCGCTTCACGACTTGGCTTTCTGAGCGGACGTTGGGTCAGACCCCACCCCTGAACAAACCCAAACTCTGTACTGGGTCTTCAGGTGGTGTGGGCAGGTTTAGTGGAAGATCGGTGTTTCTGGTTTGAGGGTTTGGGCCTCAGGTGGTATAACAGCTGAAACCTCGTCTAAATCCAAGAACTGCCAAGACGCGGATCGTTGCCAAACGTGTTCACACGTTCTTGTCAACTCTATGGACTTGGCTTGGGACCCCACATCCAGAATGCCTAAATGCCAAACCTACAGCCCAAAGCCTAAATCACAGCCGCGTCGCTAGTAGCCAGGCTGCAGCCACTTGGGCGCTGCCCTGGCACAGGGGCCGCGGTGCATTGTGCCATGCTAAGCCGTGGTGTTGGGGTGCATGATGCACCCTACAAGCAGCAACGTGTGGAGGCTTGGGCTTTGGGCCACCTCACAAGAGCGACATGGAAAGGGGGAACAACCTGCATGTGTCACCTTGCAGGTGGAACATCCAGCACAGAAATTTCAGGTGAAGCCCTCCACCGCATGGCACTGAATCCCACGTGCAAACGTGCGCCGCAGAGATGAAAAGTGATAATGGTGGTTCCTGGCTTTTGCACGTGAGGATAAGAATGAAGATGGCCCAAGATGAGGATATCACCATGCCATGACCATGGTGATGACTGTGATGCGACTATGATGATGACTATGGTGATGACTATGATGATGGATGATGATGATCGTGATCTTGATGACGGCTAAGATGCTGATGATGTTAAGGAATAAGGATGAAGATGCTGATGCTGGTGCTGTTGATGTTGATGTTCATAAGGAGGAAACAGTCTGCTCCTATCTGACAACTGTCCGAAGAGCTTAACCACTTGGCTTCCCAAACCCGATTTCGGAAGATCTCTCCGTAACAACACTGACAACTTGGAAGCCCGATTGGACCTGACCCCACCCGCCGAGGCCATAGAATGGCACATCGTTGTAGACGGTGTCCTGGGAGTCCGTAGCATGGTTTAGGGTTTAGGTTGTGGGCTGTAGGGACGTATGCGTATTGATAAGGTTATGTTGAGCTGTGCTGGCTTTTACTGTTCTCGGTTCCTGATTTTGCTTTGCTGGAAGAAGAAGTCAGGTGGCCGATTGGAAAACCTGATGCAGGCAGGAGTTGGATATATTCATAATTTCTAACGTCTCAATTGATGTACGTGGCCGCCGTGTGGTGCTACCTCTGTCAGGTGCCTTTGGTTTTGGCCCGTTTCGTCTTCAAACACATCGATGGAATCACAGTGCACCAAGCTTGCATTGCGATTTCTGCTGGACGGCTACGACTCCGCACCCTCAACCCCAGACCTTCCGAATCCCGATTTAGGCTACATTAAGTTTGATGGCTCAGGGTTTCGGATCGAAGATCCAGGGTCTAAGTTTTAGCCAGGGCGCAATACCCGAAGCCTGGACCTGTTGAACCGCTACGAGGCTGAGAGTTCCGTGGAGAAGCGGAATCCCGCACAGCGCGCCCCTGATACCCTCGAAAACTTTCGTAGTTCCTCTGAATATGTATATACATATATATATATATATATATATATACATATGTATATGTATATGTGTACATCAAACCCAGACCTGAGCCCGCCGCATGATTCCGAGCAAATCGAACGGAGTTCCGCGATAGAATAGGGGCCGACATCTGCCCCTTCTCAACCTGGCCCGGGATTTGGAGCATCATGGTTGAGACTGCAAAGCTCAGAAGCTATGAATAAGCTTCAACAGCTTCAACAACGGACAGAAGCCGGAAGCCATGTTAGGAGGTCACTCTTGTCCGAAAACTGGACAGTACCTCAAACTGGAACCCCAAAACCACTCCCCATGTGGCTTCATTTGACGAAAACTGCATCGGCAGAAAAACTACAAGTCCTGCCAAGCATGAGGTCAACGACGAATGCCCAAGCTTAAGCTTGGAGACCAAACACCGACAACCCTGAACCACAAACCCTAAAACGCAAAATCCTGAACCCACGCCCTAAACTAAACCACAACACGCAAACCATAGGCACCTAAGAAACTAAGCCTTTCAGCCCTTGAATTCCCAGGCGTGGAACTCACATCTTCCCAAGCGCGCGGCCGTGCCGAGCTTCTCTGGCAGCTCAGTCGGTCTTTTCATCTCCAGGTCCAGCCTGGATCGCGGTCGTCGTAGTACTAGTACGAGTACTGGTACTAGTACTGGCACTCGCGCTAGCACTAGTGCTGGTACTAGAACTAGTACTGGTACTGGAACCAGTACTTGTACTGGCAGTAGCAGTACTAGCAGTATGAACAGTAGTAATAGGAGTACTGCTACTGCTACTCCTGCTCCAGATCCTGCTCCCGCTCCTGTCCAGCTGCTGCTGCTGCTGCCATTGCTACTGCTGATGCTTCTGCTGCTGCTGATGCTACTTCTACTGCTACCGCTACTCCTACTCCTACTGCTACTCCCACTCCTCCTCCTCCTCCTCCTCCCACTACTACTACTACTACTACTACTACTGCTACTACTACTCCTACAAGTACTACTACTGCTGCTACTACTACTACTACTACTGCTACTGCTACTACTACTACTACTACTGCTTCTTCTGATTCGCGCCCATATGTCTATGCTCGGCATAGCCCATTTCTTATATTTGGCGCGGCCATCCCAACGGACAGCAGGCTTTCAAGAAAAGAATGAACCCGAGCCATAGCTCCAAGCGGTGCATCATATCATGCCGCCCCTGAAGGGCCAAGCACATGGGTACTACGACGAGACAACGACCACTGCGACAACGACTACTCGTGGTAGTAATGCAGCTACATCAGCAGCATGAGCGGCATCAGCAGAACTGACAGTCACAGCAGCAGGCACAGTCACAGGAAACCAGCAACAGTGGCAACAACTTCAAACCATCAACATCGTTCAAGAATGAGCCGCAGCAGCATGACCACAAGCATCAGCTGCACTATCGTCATCAGCACCACACTTATCGTGAAAATAAACCTGCCTGCTTGACAGCACCTGCACTGCACATACGTTTTATGCCATCGTACCTGCAGTGGCTGCGGACAGCATATCACACTCCCTTTACTTGCTGCACTACTCGAATTTCACTCTGCAAAACTTCGCTGGGCCCTGCACAAGTGCTTTACCCAGTCGTGATGTTCGAAGTCCACAGCATGCGGTCCAACCTTTAGCAAGGGAAGCTTTCAACATGTAGAAACACCCTGCCAAGACACTTGAGAGAGGATATGCAAGAGTATGTCACGTAAAATGCGTACAGAAGCGTACTGTATTTGCCCCTGACATTTATAGTTGAACCTAGGTATTGCGTTCGAGATCGGTTCACATATGTGGGTCGAGTCAGAAGTTGTGGTTCGAATGTACGCCCATAGAGCACCATCTTTATTTAGCCGAAAGGAACCGTAACAAAGAGCAATCCCTACTAGTCTGACCCTAGTGATACTCAGAAGCTCGGCTCAAGGTCTTTGCACATGGGAACTTAGACTTCCGATGCAGCTTGATATTTCAAGAGTCCGAAAAACACAAGATGGGTCTCAGCGGATCGCCCATAAACCTGCTTGAAGCGATGAAGCCCTGCATTCTCCTTGCAAGCCCTCCACCTTCAACCACCAACCCACATGGGTAGTTGTCGAAACTAGGGTCCTTTTTTAAGCCCACAAAATACTACGGCTCCCTTTTAAAACGGAACCTGAAAGGGGCCCTCACTTAGAGAACCACCCACAAGGAGCCCAAACCCAAATCCGCCAAAGCAGAACTGGCCTCCAGGAATCTCCGCAGCCAGGCCTGCGGAGCGCTTCGTGGCTTGGGGATTTCGTCGTTGTAGCGACCCTGTCTTGGGGGGGGGGGCCTTAATACTCTACTATATGACATTATACCATATCTTATAATATCATCTTACACACCATTATATATTCTACATCCCGTTGGGGCTGGGCTTCCAATTCAGCATGTCAGGCTGAGTGCTGTGGGCTGAATGAAACAAAGACACCGCATTAAGAAGCATTGCCGTTGTTATTCCACTTCCTCCTCTCCGCCTGCAGATTTTGTCATATGTCGCCTCCTTATATTCTTGTCGTGCTTCCCTTGTTTGTCCTTCCTCGCACTATCCAGAGTTTCGGCAGCTCGGTTTGGAACTCATGGTCGTGGGCTCGACTTCACGTCCAGGGACTCGGACACAGAAAACTTCAAGACTTGCTGGCCATTGGCTGGACATTGACATAACGAGTCGCCCCCTAGCTTAGAGTGTTGGCCTTAAAGGCTGGAGGTTCGAGGGTATAAGCTTCTTCGTTTGGGCTTGAGGGTGAAGCGGGATTCCTTCGAGGACACAAACAACAGATCTACCTGCAGTTCCTCAGGATTTTGCAGGACACAAGACAGAAGGCCTCTTACCTGTATTGCATATTTCGCGCTTGCTCCGCTCTTCTACGCCCCCAGGTCCCAACCTCAAGCCCTGAATAACCTCACTTCAATGACCCAGTGGCCCCCAGAAGGAAATCCGTGGTCGGGAACTGCTCGCCCGTCGTCAGCGACACACCTCAGCTTGCAATCGAACCGAACTCGAGGGTGCTGGGTTCAGGGTGTAGGCCGCGATGAGGTTTTTCGGGCTGAGGCTCTACAAGGGCTAAGGGTCTGGCGTTTAGGAGATCAGAACGAACTTCGGGCACATCTTCATCTGGCTCTCTAGGATAATTCTCACATTGGAAGTTTCCGAAGCATCCTTCACCCTCAGCCTCAAAATCCCATTCTTATAAGACCGAAGACTATGATACTACTAATAACCATAACAATCATAATGATAACACATATAGTAGCCACAGTCGTAATATATAACAAAACTTCACTAAACCCGGAGCCCTTCACGGGCGCTCCCCATCCAGGCTTCCCAGGCGCCGTCCGTATACTCTCGCTGCATGGCCGGGTCGATGCTAAGCACCTGCGTCGATCTCAGGGCTTCAGGGTGTAGGTAGGACAGGATAGCAAGTATTGTAATACTAGTTACCATTGTCACGATGATAATAATGACTATGGCAAAAATACGAATAAAAATTGTAGTTGTGATTTTGTTGTAGTTGTGATGCTAACAATAATAGCAAAAAAAGTAGTAAGAAAAACAATGAACATAATTGTAGGAATCATAGTAGTAGGAGTGGTAGTAGTACTACTAGTAGTAGTAAAAGCAATAGTAGTAGTAGTAGTAGTAGTAGTAGTAGTAGTAGTAGTAGTAGTAGTAGTAGTAGCAGCAGCAGCAGGAGTAGTAGTAGTAGTAGTAGTAGTAGTAGTAGTAGTGGTGGTAGTAGTAGACTCATGGATACTTCACGACGGTTTTCCTTTCCTTGAATGTTCCGACGGGCCTTCATCGAGATCCGAACAACCATTTGGAGGTTGAGAACACCCTTGATACCTTTGGGGCCTTTCTCAGGAGGTGAGATCTTCGAGCAAGACGATCTCGGTGTTCATCAGCTGGAACGTGCAGGGATTACGGGTCATGTCAAGCCCATCTCACTGCCTTTCACATCGCTTAAGGCAAGGCGATGGCACATGGTTCTTCCGTGGGATGGCGACAGATTCGTTTTAGGATCTTTCCATATTCGTGATTCATGGCATCTTAAAGACTGTGATCGGCAGCGCTTGATTGACCTGGGCATGCGCCTTTACCAGTAAATTAGCAAGCATCGCGGGGACCAGGCGATGGCACAAAATCTGCTAGCCGTGTCTCTATTCGCCGGCTGCTGCGGGTACAAGTGCAAATTCTTCATGTCTGTTCTTCAGGTACGGAAGTGCTGTGCTACAACTCTCTGATTGCTGAGCTCTGCATTGGCTCATCGCTGCCGCTGTAACTACTGAGTGCTCTCTTGAGTCTGATTCCTTTCTTTCCTTGAGTGCGGAAGACATATACAGTTGCGCGATTGAGCATTGTTGCCAAATTCTCGCTGCTTATTGGGGCTGTCGGCCCGGGCGAGGTCCGTATTGCATGTTTTTGTGTTAATGCTTTTGAAGCCAAGTGCTTCATGGGTCTATAGCTGTCCTTGCAGATGGCCGTGTCTTAGACATGCCCTCGTGCCGCTACGCAAAGACGTTCTCGAACGTTTGCGCCACGGAAGGAAGGAAGGAAGGAAGGAAGGAAGTAGTAGTAGACTAGTAGTAGTAGTAGTAGTAGTAGTAGCAGCAGTAGTAGGAGTAGTAGTAGTAGTAGTTGTTGTTGTTGTCGTAGCAGTAGTAGTAGTAGTAGTAGTAGTAGTAGTAGTAGTAGTAGTAGTAGTAGTAGTAGCAGTAGCAGCAGGAGTGGTAGTAGGCATCAAGATCATCATAGCAATTATCAATGCCAGTAGTTACATTGATAACAATGTATAACTCAAATCACGGCTGAGGGCTTGCAGCCGAAAACCTCCGATTCAGAACCCTTCATAGCCAGCAAAGACAGCTCAGGCTTTAGAATTCTAGTCTTCGTGCTCACGGGTCAGCTTCCAAGCTTTGGGTTAGAGGTCGCTAGGTGGAGCCCATTAGGAATTGAAGCCCCGACGTTGACTGTCAGAAGGCTGAAGGGAGTGGAAAGCTGCACTGAAGCTTCATGCCCGAATACGACTTCCCATGTGATGGTGATGACACCGATGAGCATGACGATGATGATGATGATGTTATGATGCTGAGGATGCTCTTGGTGGCTGCACCGAGGGTGCTGGTGGTGAGATGCTGATGCTGCAGCTGGTGCTGGTGCGGCGATGAGTGATGACTGCGACAATGCTGCCTGTCGTTGGTGTTTCTTCTGACGACGGTCTGTCGATGAATGCGATTGATCCATCATCGCTGGCAGTACTCTTAGCGTCATCAGTACACGTACTCTTCCCTTGCGCTAGCACTATCGTTCAATTGACGGACCTGCTGTCTTCGTGCTGCTAATGCTGGTATGATGAAGACATGAGCTGCCATGATGATACAGAAGACAAGGATGAAGATGCTGATGATGCTTCTGGCGATGACTATGGAAGGCTCAGGCTCAAACAGAAGAGCTATCGATGCTCCCCACTGGAACCTTTAGAGCCGAGCCCTCCTCCCCAGCCTTCAGACTTGCGGCTGCCTGAAACCTTCAACCCAGGTTTGGATCGGAACTCGAAATTCGCGAAACCCCGATCTCTGATCTGAGTTCCATCTCGAAACTCCAGGCCCGCAACCTCAAGCCCGAAGTCTTCAACACCAAGCCCGAATGCATCACCAGACCCTAACCTCCACGCTTGAGATACGCAAATCCCCAGCCTCGCCATAGGCGTAGACATCCGCCTTGTCCACATACTGCGCGATATGCTCGGGCCGCATGTGCCTTGCGCAGTTCGGGGTCCAGGGCTTAAGGGTCTAAGGCCAAAGAGACAGCCAACTTCAACTCTGACATGACAAACGCTACAAACTTGATACGAGAGGAACCCTTTCAACTCCGAGGCTTTGCTTGCACAAGTCTGCCATCTACTCCCAACAAGAAGCACTCGGGGCCTCCATCTCCTTACAAAATCGTAAAGCCCTTTCGCATGGACCCAGATACTCGGACCCTGCTCCTAGCACTCGGAATCCTAAGTAGCAAGTTCATGAACTGACGGGCCGGGCCGCGTTGCCTTCGAATCGTCAAGCTTGAATCGTAAACCCTCAAACCCCCACACCCGTGCTTCCGGATGAACCCTCCGTCTGCATCCCATGGGCTTTGCTGCGTCGAAGCGGAAGCCCGAGACGCCACAGTTCTTCCTAAGCTGGGTGTAGGGCTGAAGCCAAACCCTGAAAGCTGAAGGAATAGGGCATGACGGGCTCCTACACTGCAGGCTCGATCATCGCGATGACTGGTTGTCTGATTGTGATGACAATAGAAAATCTTGGCAGTAGTAGTGTAGTCGTCGCAGTAGAAGCAGTCGCAGCAGCAACATCTTCGTCGTTGTCGTAATCTACTAGTACTGCTGGTGAAAGCGTGATGTAGTCTTCCCAAGATCGGTACAAGCATTACGTACTCTAAGTGTAAAGTATTGCTGTCATCATTCTTGCCAGCGAGTCGCCAGGTTCAGCTCCGAAAAAACCCAAAATAGCCCTGAAAGACCCAAGACCGACGTGCTAACTATGGTTGTTCATACTTGCTATTGCTGTTACTAATACGATTATGTTTACTGTTATTGCTATTATTAATTCTATTCATATTGTCATCGTTTTGATGGCTGTTATTGTTATCACTATTGCTATTATTGTTATTACTGTTGTTATTGCGAATTCTTGGTTATTAATTCTGTTATGAATGTTGATGTTATCATGCTATCATTAGTATCAATGCTGTTATTAGTACTATCGTTACTATCCCTATTGTTATTGTTTTTCTTAGTATTAGTATTAGTATTACTAGTAGTATTAGTATTGGTATTGATATTAGTATTAGTCTTAGTAGTAGTAGTAGTAGTAGTAGCAGCAGTAGTATGAGCAGTAGTAGTAGTAGTAGTAGTAGTAGTAGTAGTAATAGTAGTAGTAGTAGTAGTAGTAGTAGTAGTAGTAGTAGTAGTGGTAGTAGTAGCTAGTATCATTGTTCTTCTTCTGCTGCAAGCCGCAGCTTTTCCATGTGGCTCGAGTGCACGGAGACGACCTTCGCCGAGCCGCCCTGCTTGCCATGGTGCTGTGGGATTCGGAGAGGTTTTGGGGGGTTTAGAGGATGGGGGTTGAGAGGTTGGGGGGTTAGAGTGTAGGGTTCAAGGGCTTCGGGTGAGTGGGTGAGAGTGTAGGGTTTAGGGTTGAGGGGTTTAGGGCTTTGGGTTTGGGGGTTTGGGTGGTTCGGGCTTGGGGTGTAAGAGGTTAAACTTCAGCCGTTCGGGGCCTGAGGTAAAGGAACCCGTTTTACTAGCTTGCAGGCCGTGTCCGCCTGAGAAGCAAGACTCCGGTAACACCTGATTCAAAAATCGGAAAAACAACACCTCCATGAACAACAAGATCAAGTATTCTAGGAATCATACTCACAACCATTAATATAATAAGAACAAAATTAATTCATAAATAAAAAGAAAAAAGGCGCCCCGGCCTTGAGCTCCGACCACTCGCCACAGCCCCAGCCCTCCATGCGCTTGGGGCCATCCCAGTCCTGCAAAGCTCTTGGGCTTAGGACTTTGGGCTTTAAGATTGTAGGGGTTTAGGGTCTTGGGGCTTTTTAGGACTTTGGGTTTTAAGATTTTAGGGTTTAGGGTTTTGGGGCTTTAGGACTTATAGCGTTTAGGGCTTAGGGTTTGGGGCCTGAGGTTTAGGGTTTTAGAGTTCAGGGTGCGGGGTTTGGAGCTTGGGGTTTAGGGTTTTAGCGTTTTCGCGTTTGGGGTTTGTGGTTCAGGGTGTAGAGTTGAAGGTTTAAGGTTTGGTGTGGTTCAAAGAGATTACTAAACCTTGTAAACCTAAACCCTTGAACCCCTGCACGCGCGGTTTTAAAACTCTGGGGGTTTCAGGGCTTATGATTTGAGTTAGGTCCCGGAGTTGAAGGCACTGGGAGGGGGAGTCCCTTGTACTACTTGGTATCACAACCACGAAACTCCAAAGCTCAACATGCAGAATCTGTGCGATGACAATCCCCACCATCATCTTCTTCGTCACCATCTGCATCATCACCCCGGGTGGCAACATGATTGACTAGGCAAGAGAAGCCATCGCTTTGCAGAACCGAACAGCTGAAATCGTATGGCTTCGTAGACTTTATTCCGAAGTGGGAGAGACAGCCATGCTCAGACGTATGAGCGACAGCAAGAAGACGAAAAGTCCTCGCCCTCCAGCGGATACCACGGCCACTCGAAGTCATCCCTGCAACGCACAACTAGACAATGGAGCTTGGGCTTAATTTCCAATGGGAAAAGGCTCATGGTTTGGGAGATGTAGACCCTGGAGTCTAAAACCCAAAACCCTACACTCCCACACCCCGACAGCCCGAAAGGAAGCAGCAAAAGCTGAGGTGGCTTCGCTGATATCTCACCGCCCTGAAAGTAGGGCCAAATGCGACGCTGTGCTCTACGGCTGGCGTCATGAATTTATCTGAGCCTGTCGGTCGGTTGAGGGCTTAGGTTACGGAGCATGAGGGTCGAAGAGTGGGCTTTCGATGTAGGCTGCCAATCCCACTCCACGTAAACTATGGCTTTAGAGATCCCAGATTGGCCCCTCTGAGCAGCGGGCTTCAGGGCACAATGATACATTCGAACCAGGCTTGGGGGGTATATTTTTGTAGAATTCTGATGAGGAGCCCTTAATTCAGCTTTGCTGACTGGAAGCTGATACGGGGAAGGCAGACCCAATAATGTAGGGTCCTTATCAGTTAGAATAGGGTTTTGGGGCACATAATACTATAACCATACTCAGGAACCCTCAAAATAGTACAGGTAATCATTTACGTAGGCCCCTGCAGTAACCTCAATGAGCACATTCGGAACCTGGTAAAAGTCGGGCCCAACTTCTGCGAGAGCCGGCGCTGGAGAATCTCCATTAGACCCGCATCCTCGGGACGAGCGATAGCGTTGTCTACGGCTTCTGCGGAACCGTGGCTGTACACTTCAGGTTTGGGTTTTCGAATTGCCCCCACGCATTCAAAACACACCAGGAACCTTTTCAGAACGTAGTTGAGGGTTGCATCTCGGGCCGTTTTGCGCAACTCCTCCCTGTTGAACCCCGCGAAGGACTTACGCGCTTGGTAGGATCTGGAGATGACAGGCTCGAGGTTTAGGGTTTAGGGGTCTGGGGTTTAGGGATTTCGGGTTTTAGGGTTTAGGATTTTTGGGGCTTTCGGGGTAGAGTGTGGTGTCTCGTGCCAACGTCTGGCAGCTCCTGAATCTCCGCCTTTTCTTTGGAAGTCTCAAGCTTCGCATGGCGGCAAGAGCACGCCGCACAGCCAGAATCCGATACCCATGCAGGAGCTCAATCGTTAGAAAACCACAAACGGCAACCTCATCGAACAACCTATGACAGCGATGAGATCGGAGAAAAAGCCCGAAACCCTCCCTCACGAAACCCTGCACGCTAGATTTGCCTCAACCCCTGAACCAGAGCCCATAAAAGCTTTAAGCAATTGCCAACATCGCGTCCTGCTGCGCCTTGCGCCACTCGTCGCAGCTAGCCACGACCTCATAGAGTCGGCTGGTTTGGGCCGTTCGAAGATTCGGGCATCTAAGGCTGTGGGAAGTAGGGCTTCAGGCTTTAGGGTACTCTGGTTGCAGGGTTTGGGGATAGTGGGCTTTTTGAATGCAGACTTCAGAGTTTGCCCGTTCGGGTTTTAGAAATTTGCATGCTGGGAGCCTTTTATGAATGGTTGTTTCCGGCATTTTGGGGCTTGATCGTTCGGGCTGCTTAGGGCTTTTGGTTACAAGGGTTTCGGGTTTAGGCTGGAGGACGTAGGTCTGCGGCTTGCGGTCAGGTTTACAGTTTCTAGCCCTCAAAGTTTCTGGCTACCCCGGGTTTCCAGGCTGAGGGGTCAGAAACAGGGATCCTGGATCGGTTTTGAACAACATGAACCACAAAACCTTCTGCTCCCCGAAACCCCAAACCTCAAACCCTGGACCAGTAAGGTCGCGCCCTGGCATTCTGACACACCCTACGGTTAATGATATAAATTACAAATCCTGCCTTACTCAGGAAAGAACCTACCATAATTCCCATAGTTTAGGGTCCTTAAGGTAATGCAGGGTTTTTATCATCAACAGTATTATAAACCCTGAAACCAAGCTGTACTAAACCTCGGAGCCTGCATGTGATTGAAGACGAGGTCGCCAAAGACCAGAAGACCAACCTAGCAGGGTGACCTACGGCTTTAAGGTTTAAGCAGCCTAAAGGTTTGGTTGTGGGGGATCAGGGTATAGGGATTAAGCTGTCTGTTGTCTCAGATTTAAGACTTGGAATGGTTAAGTTTGAAACGTTCAAAGATTTTGAGAATGCGTAGTGGCCTCGCAATAAATCAGTACCGGTGATACTCAGGGGGGAACTTCACTCCTGGGACCGGGAAGCTGAGGTTACGAAGTCCGGGGCATACTGCGCCTAGACGACAGGTTGTGGCATCTGCATGCTATTGATGCATTGGAGTTTGCAACCACGTTTCCTCCGAGTGAAACTCCTTTGGCAACACAGTCGTCGGTGCCCTGAGGAGGACGGTCCTCCGTTCCGAAACACCATCCTTGATACCTCTCTTCAGCCCAACTACTCCCTCCAAAGCGAGGACCAGGTAAGATGGGTCTGCCTCGGGATGGCCTGATTCAGCGGTCAGTATCTAGTAAGAACGTCCCCTTGTGGTCTCTATAGAATTAGAGTATAAGGTAGCCCAGCCTTGTTGTCCACCACGCTACATAGTGCCAGTACGCTTCTCAGGAAGCTTAGGGTAGAGGACGAGGAGTCTCAACTCGACGGTCTTGGCATGGATTTAGTGCTTGCGGGGGTGTGGTGTTGAGGGCTTAGGGTGAAATGAAGCATCTCCATGCCATAGAGGCCTTCTCGCAGGCCTTGCAGCATTGCCGAAGCTCCTGATGCAAGCAATGGCTAGGGCCCCCCCAACTGCTTGCATGGTCAAAGATTTGGGGTTTCAAAAACCTTCGGACGAACGAGATTAACGGTTTGAGAGTCTGAAAAAACCCATTCAGTAGCAGGGTCTTTGAGCCCCGCCTTTCTCAAGACCCACAGGTTACCACTTCAAAACTGATGATATGCGTGCCTTGCAAGAAGAACTGCCGTTGTCCTAGTGCAAATACATTTAACATAATGACATGCCACCAGTGACTCTCGCATCGGTACCCCAACCCCGGAATCCTAAAACTTTCAAGCCTAAAGCCCTGAATCACGCCAGTAATGATCTTATAGTGACAATCATGAGCCGGTCCCTGGCCCGCCTGCTCGTTTCCGAGGCCGTGAATCTCCTCGTACTTCACAGGCTGGTAGCGCGTCCACCACTGCTCACCTTTTCAGAGATCGGGATTTGAGGTTTGAGAGCGTTTTAAGGTTTTTGAGTGTTTGGTGTTTCCGCTGCTGAAATGAGAAGACAGAACTGTAAGACTACAAGAACAAGCATAGTCACGTGGCAGCCCAAGGACTTAACAGCCTGGTCGTACAGTGAATGATCCAAGTACTAAAGCTGAGGCTCGCGGTTCGGGGTGAGGCAAAGGCTGCGAGCGATCATGAGGCAAAGGGCTGGCGCCAAATAAATCGAGGGAGGGGGGCGGTCAGCGCAGCAGCAGTAGTAGCAGTAGCAGTAGCAGTAGCAGTAGCAGTAGCAGTCGCAGTAGGAGTAGTAGCAGTAGCAGTAGCAGTCGCAGTAGGAGTAGTAGCGGTAGGAGTAGTAGTAGTCGTCGTCGTAGTCGTCGTCGTAGTCGTCGTAGTCGTCGTAATCGTCGTAGTCGTAGCCATAGTCGCAGTCGTGGTCGTCGTCGCGAGGGCTTCAGCTTTGGTGTTGAACGGCTTCGTGGCTACCCGCAAAACAGTTTCGAAGATCGCAAACCTGAATGTCCGAACCCTGGCCCCAAACTTCCCAACCCGACGCGAAGTTCTAGACCACAACCTTAAACCCTGAACCCCAGACCCTCGACTTCACTAATACCCCCTGGGCACCGTCGATGCTTCGCTGCGCAGGACTAAGCTGCACTGCATCGAAGCCCAAAGCTGCGATCATGGACGCCTGGAGAGGTTTAGGGTGTAGGGGTTAGCCAAAAGGAAGGAGACGAGTGAAACTAATACAAAAATCAGTCACGATACCAAGAATGCCACCAATAATAACAACAACAGTTACAACAAGAAGAAGCAACATAATATCGGCAATAATCGCAACAACACTGCGATTTTTCTGTTCCTCCTAATGTTATTACGACAGTTACATTTGTCGTCTATGATTCCACCAGATTCGTGGTCAAGGAAACTATAACTATCCATACAGCAAGGGACCTCGTCACAACAGGCGGTAAATGATTGTGACCGGGAGACAGTCGTCAGAGCAGCAACTGTATAGCAACGACCAAATATTACTCGTATCGATAAGATGAAGACGAACAAGTAGCATCCTCATCACAAGCACCAGGTTCGTAAACATTACACTTAGGGTGTGCCTTAGTCTTAGGCTGGTTTGCACGAGAATCTTCCGGGAGTGAAGGACTTGGGGGCAAGGCGAGCATGCTGCAGAGAGGTCTGGGGCTTGACTTCTTCGAGAACATGAGGGACTTCGTAGCCTTCGACCAACCTCAGGGCCAAATCTCGGCAGAGGGACTATAGAGACGAGAGGACAGCTACAGCAAGGTTTTGCAGGACAACCGCAGGGACACGAAACCTTCAGATTAAGGATCTCGGAATTGAGCCCTGCGTTCGCTTGCAAAAGCATCTCCTCACCCGGCGCAAGAACCGACACGCTCTCTCAACCCTGTATACAAGGGTTCTTGTGGGGCTGCAAAGAGCATGCTGATGCCATGCCCCCACAAGTGCCTTCCTTTGAACGTCCGTGAACTTCCAGTTGAAGGCGTGGAAGATCTCGGGGGCTTTGCGCTTCGGATTTAAGGTTTGGGGTTTAGGGGTGGGGAGGGGTAAAGGGCCTGAGGCTGGAGGCTTTGAGGTGCTCTGCCCATTTTACCAGACCCTATGCCCTGAAACCCTAACCCTAAACCCTTTTACCAAACCCGAAACCCCTTGCACTTTCGACTTTTGACGTCATCAACTCTAGGAGGCCAAGCATGACGAGGACACCCGATGTGAGAGCTCGGATTCCTACCTGGAAACCCTGAAAACACTTCGGAACTCCTCGACCTTAGGCGCTGCTGTAGGGCGTAAGGTTTATAGGGTTTAGGGGTGTACTTCAATAGGTGTCTTCAAAACAAACACATAAAAACCACAGGATTTCACGTGCAGGCTTCAGGGTTGCGTGACCTCGAGGTCTCTTGCAGGCCAGCCACCGCACCGGGAAATTCGAGCGGATCTATGTCCACCTGGGTGACATTGCGTCTGGGTCTAGGGATTTAGGGCTTTCTGTTTACATCCCCGAAACCCAGAAACATACAACGTCAAGAACGACAGAGCGGGCATCGAAAAGCCGAAGCTAAGGCCGGAGAGGCACGAGCCAGACTAATTACCTATACTATTTTGGGGGGTCCTTATCATATCTATAGTATAGTGAACCCCAAAACGCTTTCCTAATTGTTAAGAGCCACGAGCCAGTTGTCGCCCCACACCACTTCCAGCTCCGTTTGGCCCTCCGCCTGTGCGGGTTCCGGGCTTCCCTTCTTCGAGGTCTTTGTATCAATAAGGATTCCGGGGAGGGGGCCTTTCCGGCGGGGGGGGGCTTTCTAAGTGTAGTAAGGGTTCTACTCTTACATCTATATAAGTAGGGTCTATATTCGAGTCCCGCGGGGACTGTGCCGGAGCTTTTGGGGTTTTGGCTTAGCTGGGCTGTTTAAGGTGCAAGGGAAGTGCTGCGTAGGAACCTCAACAAAGCCCGCTCGAGTTCTGCTTTCGTAGTCAGGGCTGTCGAGCAATATATACACGCATAGAGATAACAGCAGTGATGATAATTGACTTTGTAAGCCGCAAAAGCAATAGTAAGAATAACAGTGGCAATCGCAATAATTACTAATAATGATAAGTTTATTCGTCAACAATGAAAATAATGATCGCGTTACAAAACCACAAAAACAATCATGCTGCGTAAACAAGCATATGACTCCATAAATGAGTCAGTGCAGGAAAACATTCTCTAGTCCTAATATGATAAGAACAATACGCTGGATTAAGTAATGATAAGGAGAAGAAGGAAAAGAAGAAGAACGGTACTATGATATTAAACAATGCTTCGAAATGAGAGTAAGATGAAGAAGAATACGAATAATTACAGGAAGACGAATGAGTTCAGAAAAAGCACAATAACTCCAATAGTAACAACAAGAATATTGTAATCATCATCATCATCAAAGTAAGAGTAATCAAAGCCGTGTCGACACTCTGTGTTTCGGATCCCAGCGTCCACGGCTTAGTCAACTTTGGAAGCCACGCCCTGGCCTCAAAACTCAACACGGCCAGCTTCATAATGACACAGACAAGGAAACCATAACCATAATAAGGAACCCGAAACATGTAGGTGGTGTTTACAAAGAACACCAAGCCCTTCATCCGCAACCTGAGAACCTCAGCCTCTGAGGACCCCCCCCAAATCCCTTAAACTAAATCTTCAACCCCAAGTCACTTCGACCCTGGCCCCGAGGCTTCGTTGTACTATCATAAAATGTGCTATACTCTGCTATCTCCGAGTATACTATACTGTCCTTTCCTATTCAGATTGAAGGTTTGGGGGCTTGGAGTTTAGGGGTTTAGGGTGTGGGGCCTTACGGGTTTAGGGTTTAGGGGTTTCGGGGTTTAGGGCTTAGGGGTTGTATGGTTTAAGGTTCAAGGCCTTAAGGGCTTACTTAGGGTTCTTAGGGTTTACCGCAGCCGTCCTTCCCCTTCCGGGGCGATGGGAGGTCGAAGAGGTAGGATGCCTCCTGCAAAGCCCAGAGAAGCTTCCCTCCCAGCCCCTGCACAACACACACACCACCATATATACCTATACATATGCAATTACACAAATATATGTACAAAAAAACATCTAGATATCTACGTATCTAGTACTTAGCATAGAGTAGAAACATCTTACATATACCCACTCTCATGCTACTGAATGCGCCACCAAAAGCAGTGAGCTTCACGATGCCACCATCTCCACCACCCACCCTGACCATGACTACGATCGCAACGACTTCGGACTTGTGGCGCGTCAAAGCCATGGATTTTTGCACCAGCGCAAACCCCGGTAAAAGTTTTAAACTACTGCCCCACCATGGGAGAACAAGCCATGCCTGAGAAAGCCTGAACCGAACCCTAACCTCCTAGTCCGAAACCTCCTTCTCAAAGCTTTGCAGTGACCAAACTCTCCGGCTCCTCACCGGTCCAGAACCTAGGGATGGAAAGTTGGGCTTTCAGGAGTGGCAGTCCGGGTTGAGGCTGGGCTGTAGACTTCGGGGTTTAAAGCGTTGGGGGGTTGGGGCTTTCTTTTCTGCAGTCTGCAGGCGTGGGAAGGAGGTATCTTGCATTTGGGGTCGTGGGCTGCAGTCTCGGGGGCTGGCCAGGAGTACAAATCAGAATGCATTCCCAACGAATCCTTCCTTCAAGGGATCCCTGTCGGGTTGCTCTGAAGAGAGAGAGCACTATTCTGGGAAATGCTCTGTAGCTAGCGGGGCTCCGTTCAGAAAGCAGTTCAAAAGCCCTTTTCAGTCATCTTCGTTACACCTTGGCTAGTGCAGGCCACGCCCTAGACTGCAAGCAACCCCTAAACCCCCAGCCTGAAACCCAAAGCCCTGTTTGCGGCAAACCCTGTCAACCCAAGAAGCAGATTCAGCGGTTTGCACGACTTCGCGGAGTTGCGAGCATGCAACTACGGTCCAACATTGGCAGCACTTTGCTCCTTCGGCTCAGGACTACCGCTGGAGGCCTTTAACAGAATCTGCCATCCAAACAGGAGCCAGAGTCCAGATTACTTTGTCAGAACCAGCCTCCTCCCTTTGTCATCAAGTTCACGATGTCCTCATGCCCACGATGAGACGCCAGGACCAGGGCCGTCCGTCCCATCCTTTCCTTAACCTCTCGGTGGGCCCCATGGTTTAGCAGCAAGCGCACGATCGAAACGAACCCGAGGTCCGCGGCGTGCATCAATGCGGTAAACATGGAAGCATCCTGGATGTTTGGATCAGCACCAGCCTCCAACAGCAATCGGACAATCCTCACGAAGCCGTTGCGCGATGCGATGACCAGGGCTGTCTGGCCCGATTCGCCCTTCCAGTTGATGTCCACCCCATCTAACAGCAAGCGGACCGTGTCAGCTTTTCCGCAGGGCGCCGCAAACTCCACAAGCTCCTTTGCAGCGACACGGCCCATCCGTGAATCCGTGATCGGTTTCAGATACAGCTGCAGCTCCATCAGCGATTCCAAGCTGGCCGAATCCGTCAGGTCGCTGACCTGGCCGCACTGCAGCAGATGCTGCATGCAGACGGGGAAGCCATGCGTTTCCCTTAGGCGTTCCTTGAGTGCCGGGACGGTTAGGCCGACCACTTCCTCCTCCGCCAGAGCCGCAAGCTCCTCTCCAGAGGTTCGGTAGACTCGTAGCATGGCAAGGTCTACCCAGACCCAAATGATCACCGCATCGGGGGCCTGCTTCGAGCAACCCTGAGAAGGAGAGACGACAGACGATGAACTCCGCATATCCAAAGCTCTCACCCTTCAACTCTCATCATGCAACCCCCAACACAGTTCCGGCTGCATTTTTCGTTACTACTACTACTACTACTACTACTACTACTACTACTACTACTACTACTACTACTACTACTACTACTACTACTACTACTACTACTCCTGCTACTACTACTACTACTACTACTACTACTACTACTACTACTACTACTACTACTACTACTACTACTGCTACTGCTACTGCTACTGCTACTGCTACTGCTATTGCTACCGCTACTGCTACTGCTACTGCTATTGCTACTGCTACTGCTACTGCTACTACTGCTACTGCTACTGCTCCTGCTGCTGCTACACTCCTCCTCCGCCTGCTGCTGCTGCTACTACTACTACTACTACTACTACTACTGCTGCTGCTACTACTACTACTACTACTACTACTACTACTACTACTACTACTTCTTCTACTTCTGCTAGCAAGCGGACTCGCCCTGTTTGCTCAACAGAGTCACACGAAGGATCATCTGATTTTCAGTCGCAAACATGATCATCACAGTACTATATTAGCAAGGCATCACCACTTTAGGGGGCGTGAAGAAGTAATGCCGGGGCATCTGATGCCACCTTTGCGGAACCAGCGAGACATGGAACCCGGCCGGTTGGCGTTCCAATCCACAGTCAGTGTCAGAGAAATGCAACATTATCATTTCACGATGACTTCATGAGAGTGCTACTGAGTACTGGGGCAACGAAAACGCAACATGATACTGCGAATCATCTGCGCGAAACTCGTGCTCATAGGTGACATGATAACTGTCACGTCGTGAATGTACCCGGACTTACGTGTACGCAAGCCGCAAACCTATTTACAACGCACTCCCATACATTGAGATATTGTGATACTTGACCAAAGAGCATACTGACATCCTGAATGGTGGACTACGCCGCGAATCTAAACAGCTGCTTTCTTGGCTTCCTTCCTGAAGACCTTAGTGCTCTGTGGTTTCTACTGGGCCCCAGGCCGGTTCGGGCGGTTCTCCTCCCACCTGGGGATGCCGTTGTGGCCCAGGCAAACGAACTTGAAGGCCATGCCTGGTACGAAGCGTGAGTTTGGGATCCAAGCTTTGAGGCTCACCAGCGGGCTTTGAAGGGACATGAACCCTGTTTAAGTGTATCGTCCTACAGGCTTACAGTATAGGATGCCCCTGTAACCCTGTTGTGTACTTTTTCGAACCCCCGAAAACTTATCTCCTGATTCCCAAACCCCACACCCCCCGAATCCTACCACAGCCTTTCTCTCGTCGCCTCACCGAAACATCACTGGACCAGGCCTGGTTTCAGCTCTGCCAGCACTCCCGGCAATGCCCACACCTGGCACAAAGCTACTATAAGGGGCTTTGATGATCAGAATAGGGTTGCTTTAACTTAAGGATTGCCTTCAGGGTTCCATACGTGCATAAAGCTTTAGTATAGGGGCATCAAGAACTGGAACAGGATCTCGGGTCATACTATGCTGTAACTGGCATGGGGTTTCCCAGGATGGTATTTATTCCGACAGACCCTATATTGACTCATCAGGCTTTTTGGGAATCAGAATCAAAGGTATCTTGCATCGGGTCTTTATGAACGGATCCTGGTCGGATCTGCAAAGATCAAGGACCTGCGCCGCTGCCACGTCTGACGACTTTCGCCGAACAAACACCCTAAACCCTAACCCAAAAGCCTAAACCTTGAACCCTAATCCCAACCCAAGCGTTCACTTCAAAAGCGCCTCCTTGTCACCCGAAGGGCCCACGTACTTCAGTGCGGGAGCCGTGTATGGATTCCAGCTCCCGAGCCTTTTTGGAGCCATAGACGGGATGCAGAGGGTTTAGGGTTTAGGTTTAGGGTTTAGGGTTCAGGGTTTAGGGGTTAGCGTTTACGGTTCCTAAACTCCAAAACCCATTGAAATAAGGAGCATACCTTCAAGTATACAGCGCCCCTTATTATGATTTAAGGTCTGGTCATTACTTCAAGGGTTTTGGAGTCTGTGACAGTCTGTGGGTTTGGCTGCAGGGTTTCAGACATTGTCATTCGGCTGTAAATTTAGCAGCTGGGATGTAAAGTTCCCTCTCTCGCTGCAGATATCAAAAAAATCGGCTGTGCGGGGAATTATGCTTCCCGGCTTACTCTGAAGTGCTTCGGGTTGCAGCTCAAGATTTGCTTTGGGATTGAAGGCTGAGCGCACAGGTGGCTCAACCTCGAAACTGTTGTGAACCACCCCTGTGCAGCTTCCAGTCTACCGGTTCCGCCATTAGGCTCTGCGACTCCGAAGCCCCGGATCCCTAAACCCTACAAACCCCCTAAAACCTATAAACCCTAAGAGACCCTAGAACTCCCCCTGAGGAGCCCTTCTTCGGGCTAGGCTCGAGGTCCCTTCGCCACAGATGACCATCTGCCCTTTCAGCTCGTGGGGCACCTTCGGGGTTCAGGGCTTAAGGCATACTTCAGGGGCCTTAGCAATTAGAGTAGGGTTTGGGGGGCCCATTGTACTATATGATAAGAAGCCTCCAAAATAGCATAGGTATATTTGTTAAGGCCCCTATTGTAGGCTTTAGGGCTTGGGTTTAGGGCTTAGGGTTTAGGGCGCAGGGACGTTAGAGACTTTAAGCCAAAATGGTACTCTCAAAGAGGGTTTGTATGGTTCCGCTCGTATGAAAGTGGTCTTATAGGGCTTGGAGGAGTTTCGGAGCTTTGGAGCTTTTGGGAGACGGTTGGGAGTTTTGTAAGGACCTAGGAGTCTGGTTAAGCAGGAATTCGGGCTTGCGGTGTCGGACTCCACGCTGGAGGTGCGAGGGATGCGCCAAGGAGAGGGGCGTTGTATCAAATCAAAGCTGCATCTGGCTGCGAAGCGGACCTTTCAGGCAGTGATGTCGCTTGTTCTATGACGACCAAAAAAACACATGCTGCAGGGGCCTTCAAACTTAGAATACGGCTTGGGAGGATACATTGTACTATACCTAAAGCTTTAATGCAGAACTCTGAGGAAGGGGTTTGATATGAGCCCCCTTCGCTGATAGAAGGGTTTGGGTTTAAGGTTTAGAGTTGAATGTGCTGTTACTGAAGAGCTAAAAACCCTAAATCCTTGTAGTACCCTTATAGACCCCATTAAGGGGAACCCTTATAGATCCCTCTAAAGAATCGAAGAGAACTGGAGTTGGAAGTGCTGCTTGGCCACGAAGCCGAGCGGACTGTGCCAAGGCCAACGAGCTTCAATGTAAGCGAGACGAAACCCAAGCTGTTTCATCCTGAACCCCAAACCCCATATTGGTATGATACAACATTATCATGATACTGCAATATTATACTTTATCATAAAAAATGGCAATGCGGGAACCATATACTCCCAAAACCCAGCCGGCTGACATGTGCCACACCCCTGGCGCGAGGCACCTTGAGCAGCTGCAAGCAGTCTAAGGACGTCGGCCCTCTACCTGCCAACGGATCGGAAGTTCGGATCTTTGCACAAGAAGACACACCCTACGATGTACTATATATCGTATATTATATATATATATATATATACACACACAGAGTATTTAATAAAAGCAAGATACGATCCATCAAAAGACAGAAATGCCCTCTGTTTGAGGGTCGATATCTTCTTATTGACTCATATTAGTATATCACAGTATGTTGTAATATATTATACGTAGTATATTATGGTATACTATTGTATAGTATAGTATGAGCCTTTGCCGCCTGAAGACTGTTGACCCTGGTTCAGGCAATCCGCACGGGAATTCAAACTCTCATCGGGTTTGGTTCTGCCAACTTCGATACATGCATGGCTGAGTATATGACAGCATTTACGGGCCGTGTCGGTGTTCAGCTGCCGTCATGAACAACCCGGATTCCGACAGATCTCACATGACTATAGTATATTATAGTCTAAATTATTGTATATCACAGTATGTTATAATATATTATATAAACATTTCTCCCGGGTTGTAACTCTGCAGACCGACAAAATGGTGGGCACCCTTGTTGGTCCTCAAGAAGAAGACATGATTAGAAAGCAGGGTTCTGAGGCCCCTTATACTATCCTTAAGAATTAGAATAGGATTTTGGGGTATATGATACGAAAGTTACAATCAGCAACCCCTAAATAGTATTTGCAAATATGTAGCCTTTTCTTACCTGAAGTATTGCCCGCCCCCTTTGTCGAGACTCCCAGTACCTTCCGGTCTCCGGGTTCAGTGGCCGAAGCAATCCAAAAATCCGGAACGAGCCACTCCGAAATCCAACAACCTAGAAGCTCACATCAGCAAGAGCAATGACATTAACATCTGTAACAAGTATGAGCGGTGCTGCACCATTCTGAGATGTTTCTATGACTTGCTTGAATTAGGACAAGTAGCTCCGGTTGGTGTGCACCGGTGGCCGCAGGGAGTAGGAGTCCGGAGATTCATCCTAGCACTGCATCGTGGCTTCCATCTGCCTCTTGAGCATGTTTCCGGGTTCAAGGAGCAGGCTCTAGGTATTTCATGCTGTTTCCAAACATGAGTCGACAATGCTGCAAAGCAAGACGTCCGGGTTTCAGGGGTCTGCGAGTTCGGACTCAGGCATCAGGAAAGGCCCGATGGACTGTGCTCCTCTCCGAAGTCCACGTACATCGGCGCACCTGGTGAAGGGCCCATTTAAAAAGGATTCCTTTAAGGGCTTCCATAACAGCTCCTTTCACGGGTTTTACAATTGTCCCTGAGCGTGTTCTGTCTGGAATTTAGGTTTGGAGATCGCTTGAGAATGCGTTGTCAAAGATGGCCGCCATGTCCCCTCTGCCGGCTTGTCGCCTTGATATGTTCCGATGCTGTATGCTATGAAAAACTGGACACACCAAATGATCCAGGGCCTGACCCCCCCCCCCCCCGCCACCCCACAGCCTCCCGCCCGACCCTCGCCACCCCCCCCCCCGACCGCGGTGAAAACGCGAACCCTAATGCCCTGGACACTATGAAACGTGGAGCGGGAGGTGTCTGAAGGAGCATCGGCATGGGCTTGTTGCACCCCAACAAAGATGCACAGCGAACCAAGGCAGGAACTCGGAGAAGGGATGAAAAAAAAACCGCGAAACCAGAGAGACTGACTTGGTTTGCTATTCTTGCTCGGGTAGAGCTGTTGAAATGGCGACAACAAACCTACGGGTTGAACGCCGGCCCAGCAAGCCTTTTGTCCTTCAAGCACAGACCTCTGAACCCTTCGACCTTCCAGGACAGACGAGACGGGCACAAAAACATCACCTCATGCTTCAGATTAAACAAACAAGAAAGACTCGAAAGGGTTCTGGAGCCGTCGTCCCTCCGACAAAGGCAGGGCACTGGCCAGATCCTCGCGGAAGTCCTGCAATGCTTGCAGCGTTTAATATCAGTAAGTATGATTATGGTGTATAAGAATATTACTCTAGTATGTACCATTATGGTACTCACTGTATTATGACACCCTAAACCGAGGCAGAAGAGTGTCCACGAGAAACGCAGAGCACTGGACTTTTCGTTCAGGGCATAGGGTTTAAGATGCAACCGCAAGCTGCCACTAAGGAGGCTATGATATGGTATCTACCATGATTTCCAACAGTATACTGTAGTTTCTAATATACTTGTATTGGTACACCACTAAGCCCCTCAAAATTTAAACCGATCTCCGAACGCACCCGAGTTGGAGGGCGACGGAGAATGCCACATGGAGCTTGAATCTGGATTTCTTTTTCTGCGAAACCCAATCACTGGCAAGTTTCCGCACGCCGTGCTTTCCGCCCTGCTTTCGTCTGCTCAAATGAAGGCCCTCTGGAACAAGTTGCATCCTTACAAAGCCTTCTGCAGCAGTCTCCCTCTAGCGACCAAGCCTTTTGCACCCGCACATCCTCGCTCCCACAACCAGCAATTTGGAAGACCATGGCAATGCTTTGACAGTTCATATCTGGACAAATGAATTGGCTCGCATCTTTGTTAGTCTAGGCATCAGCTGGGGGCGCAAAGCTCTGACAAGAAAAAAGAAACCCTCGCATCTGAAGTCACCTGAAAAACCGAAGCCTGACACCTGGATGTGGCCACGTTGCTAAGGTTCCTTCGTCTCTTAGCATACATAATCTCCACAACCTTGGGCTCGTGCTTATGGAACTATGGGGGGCCCTGTCGCAGCTACACCCAACTCATGCTCAAAAGCCAAGGTTGACAGCCCATGACTCCTCGGTCATGCCAGCATCCGACCCCAGCGCGGCCGAACCTTTGCGGCTTGCGGGTTGCCGTCTCGCCAGTCTTTAGAACGGCTCTTCAATGGGAAACGTCCAGATGTGACGATGATGACGACGACGACTGCTAGTACCAGTGCAACACACCGCCAAGCTGCTGTGGCCGCCGCTGCCATCTGGTGGCAAGACGAGCGGCTCACTGTTGACCATGACCTGAAAGAGGGCTGTGGGGGGGGCCGGACTCACATTTGGGGAGACTTCTCACCTCAGACTCCGAAACCGCTGCTGGATATGAAACTGAAGCTAAGCTTAGCAGCCACTACCATGTGTGGCGGCTTCGCAGCGTACAGTAAATGTGCTAGTCTTCTGGCCGGTAGCTTTGACGGAAGGAAGAATGATGACTTTGTCGGATTTGAGCCATGCACGCTACACCTGGATGTGAAGTGCTACAATGCTGATGCACGACATCACACGGATCTGCAAACTTCCCTTTCAGTACAACGAAGCAAAGCAACCTAATATGAAAGTTTCCAGTATGTGAAGTATCCGAACAGTTACAACCCACTCTGAAACTGAAGCCCACTAGACAAGGAGCCTTCTCATGCGGATCGCCCCATATAGCCGTGACCTGAAATGGGTGAGCTGCTGGTTGCGCGGAAAGCCGCAGGATGCGGCGCGGTCTCACGAGCAGGAGGTGCTAAGGGATCGCCAACCAAGGGCGGACTCTCTCTAATGCACAGCGATGTCTCTAGCTTAGATGTTCGGACTCGGGTTGTAGGCCATGTCTGCGGCTCGCAAGCGATGAGGGCACCGGATGATCTCAGGACAACAAAACAGGTCAGCCCCCCATATCCGAAGACACTGCGACTCACGAACCCGAGGCTGAGACCTCCAGCTGTCCCGGCTCCACAAGGAGCTGGCGGTTGCCCTCCACACCCTCCCACCGCACCTTGCAGCTGCATTGTCGAGGGCTGGGGGATTTAGGATTACGGGTTGCAGCGGCTTAGGGTTGGGTTTGGGGATTTAGGTGTACGGCTTGCACGGAAGGTCGGGAAAAATGTATAGACGTCCCCACAGACTGACCCAAGCCCTTGATGCACCAGCAGTCGAAGCCTTCTTGGGACGCCGAAGCTCCAGCTGTAAAGCAAAAAGATCTCAAAGCACAACCGTTCAAGCGGAAGGTACGAGATGCAGGACTTCGGATGTCGTTTCTTCATTGCAAGAGCTTGTCGGGTCTTGGGCAAGAACGATGGCCGGATGAACACCAACACTTCAATGGCTTTACCAACAAGGCACCCCGGTAAAAGCTTTTCGAAGACCGTGCTCCTTTTGAGGAGCTTAGGTTATGAAGCGGAACTGACAACATCACAGGCAAAGCCCAGGCCGTAGGCTTTGCATCACGAGTGACAGTAAAATCTTCTGGGGTGCGAGAGCCAAGGCACTGGAGTCTTCTTGTCATCTCGCTTCACCTTCTTGTCCAGTAGAGCAGGCAGTAGGCAGTGGGGTTTTGGGATGGGACTTACGGGTGCAAAGAAAGGTCGAAGCCGGAAAAGTGATGGGAAGCCTGCAGCCCGAAATCCGAATCCCACAAGATGATACCTTCCCTACAACCCGAAGACCGCATACATCGCAAAACTTTGAAACATTGACCCGAACAGGAACGTGCCACCTCACCTTGAGCCGTGATCAAAACTAAACCCCCTGCTGTACTTGAAGGTTCATGGGCAGTCATAAGTGGGGTTATAAGTAGGGTACTTATATCTCATATTAGGAAACTTATTTATAACCTCACTTAAAACTACCCATGAACCTCCAAGTACTGGCCTCGCAGCCTAACTCCTCTGATGGCGTAGGCCCCTGAAGCCCGGCTAAAGAGCATACTATCTAAACTACGATGAAGAATTCGCTGCGTCAGTTTGCATGCATGTATACATACATATACATATATATATGTATATATATATATATATATGATCATAATATATATATATATATATATATGTATATACATATATATATATATATACATATATATATACATACATATACGTATATACATATATATATATATATATGCATCTGTGTGTGTGCGGAATGTGCAATATGTAACATACAACTTATTGTACATAACACATACTCCATGATACATATGTATATATATACATATTGATTGTGTATGTATATGAGTATGTATGTATGTATAACATATATCACTCGAAAGTATGTTATACCCGATGTGTTGAATGTAGAACGGCATGAAATACAAAGGTTAAGGTGTCAAACATTCTATATATATATATATATATATATATCATGTCAGATAGATATATATATATAGAGAGAGAGAGAGAGATGGCAGAGTATCTAATGTGTCTGTACAAGCTGTTCAATATGCTGGATGTACTACATGTAGCGTTCAGGATAGGTCTGAAATATACACTAATTATATGATCGTGTCGAGGCTTCATGCGGCCAGCTGGCAATGAATTTGTACTCGACCTTGGATACTGGCAGCGGCAGAGGAGCCGTTGACCAGGAGGGGAACTCCTGCGAGGGTTTTGGTTCAGGTTTTGGGTCTAGGGTTCAAGCTGTCTGTTCATGGTTTAGGGTTTTGAGGTTTTGGATTTAGGGTTCAAGGTTTTGGCGCCGTGGCGGCCGAGAACTTTAAGTTTGGCGGACGAAGATTTGGGGTTCCAGGTTTTCGGGTTGAGGTTTCGAGGGCTGAGTTAGCATGCAAGCTTAAGCATCCCCCTCGAAGTTGCTGATCAGGGCCTGGTTCTTGACAGGATTGAATAGGTTGAACAAGGTTTCATATCCGATCACACATCGAAAGCTATGTTTGAGATGTCCCAGGCCAGCCCCTGAAACTGCGAGGCAGAACTCCTCTTTAGGGCTTCGCGACGAAGTCTTCCCGATTCAAGCAGCCGGGAGTATTCCTCCGAGCAAGCCTTCACCAAGAGAGCCTGGAACGTTCAAGACAGTCTTGGGGCACGCGAAACGCCGACCAGCAGCAAAGCTTTACAGAATGTCAGCCGCGATAGCGGCGTCCTGTGCATGCGCTTCACTAGGCAATCGCACCTTTGCTCGCTTCAGCAAGCCAAAAACACTGCATCTGTACACGTGCTGTCTGCATCACGAGAGCAAGCACGGCTGGCTCCCACAAGCTTCGACACGGAAGACAAGTTTACCACGACCTCCGTTGCTTGGGGAAGCTACCTAGCTCCAAGGCAAATTAAATCGTGGAAATGCTGGAGTCCCCAAGAAGTGTCACGGCCAACTTCTTGGGCAGCCAAGAACTGTTGCAAAATGTGCAAAACGTTCAAAACCTACCCTTAACAGGCAAACCCTGGAATTGAGATCAGAGAGATGTCAACAAGACTGTGCAAGAAGGACAGATCAAGACACAATACTACACTTCCTACGAAGATGCCTATGGCGAGTAGCAGCAACAGTCACAGTAGCAGTTTGCAGTGGTCGCCTATCGTTACTGCAGCTGCTGATGTACCGGGCTAGACAACGTAAAGGTGCTTGTCAGACCGCTATCGCTTTGTGTTGCACTGTTGTCCTGAGAACCGACGTCCTTGTCAGCAATACCAGCCATAGTATGGACGTTCCATTGCAGATTCAGACGAGAAAAAGAGTGTGTGTGTGTGTGTGTATACATATATATATATATATGTATGTATGTATGTACGTATGTATGTATGTATTCATGTATGTAACGCGTATGCAGATTCGCAGATGGATGCTCTGTCCGCAGTACAAGCTCTGGGGGGGGGTGTTGCATTCGTCTCAGACCTGAAACCCCAGTCATGAATCAAGTTCGAGGCTTTCGGGCGCAAGGCAGCCCTTAGGACTCCGGGAAGGCTTCTCAACGCGCAAGCTATGCAAGTCTTACAACCCCAGGGATGTTGAGGAAATACTGACACTGCACGAAATACCAGGCGTCTCCTTATTATAGAAATAGTATCATGGGCCCTATATTACCCTATTCTAATTATTAAGGCCCCTATATTAGCCAGCCTGCATCGAGAAGAATCAGCCCCGTGCCACAAAGCTCCGATGCTGAGAGAGCAAAGGTCTCAAGAGCTCGGAAGCTTTGGACAAGGTGGCGCTGTGCAGGACCACGGTGAGTGCCCTCTTGGATCGGTTTTAAAATCGAAATGCCCCATGCCGAGCCCGAAATATGTCGGGGAATCGACTTGCGATATTTGAGGCTGACATGGGTCTCGGGTCCTCCCAATAAAACAGCTCAAGTGCCTCTATTGGAGGATTTCTGCTGATGTGTGCAAGTCTGAAGCGAATGCAAGCGGCTGCCCGTTACACAAGAGCTTACGCCCACCATGTGTCCAACTTCTCCAAGGCCCCAAACCCCCTAAACCCTGAACCCTCTACCCTAAGCTCCAACAACCCCCCTCTAACCCCTGAACCCGCTGAACCCCGAAAATGACCCAACGGTTTCGGGGAGAACCCGAAAACGATTCAGTTTAGACCTCGGAAGAACGCTCGGACTCGAAGGTCACCTTCTCCTTCTCCACCTCCGCATGACGGCAATAGGATTTAGAGTTGAGGGCTTAGGGCTTAGGGTTATTAGGGTTATTAGGCTTATTAGTGTTATTAGGGTTATTAGGCTTATTAGGGTTATAAGGGTTATTAGGGTTATCACGGTTATTAGGGTTATTAGGCTTATTAGGGTTATTAGTGTTATTAGGCATTAGGTTTTAGGGCTTAAGGTTTACGGCTTTGGGTTTCGAGCTTAGGGTGTGGGGTGGAGGCTTTCGGGTCTTGAGTTTAGGGTGAAGGCTCTAGGGTTTAGGGTCGAGGCCTTTGGGTTTAGGGTTTTTTTCAGGGTGTCTACTACAAGCTATAGCAAGTCGGTAGGCTTTATTTGAATGGACCCCAGAATAAAATCCCCTGATCGCCAGACTCTATCATGCTATACTGTTCATCGGTATCTAAGTTCCTGAATAGCCCCATTATAATCAAGGGTACCCTTGTTGCTGCAAATTTGGTTTCGATAAGGGGATCCTAAAACAAAAAAGCAAACAGGGTACTGCTCAGGAACCTAGCAGACCATACTCCCTCCTAGATCCCTTATGGAACCCTTGAAGGATCCCTTTAAGGAACCAGTTAAGAAACCCTGTAGAACCCCGAAGGAAGTCCGGATAAAATCCTTTGGTGTTCCCCCAGATATGCCATCCAAGGCAGGGGCTCAGAAGGCCTTTCTCAGAGCTCATTTTTAAGAGTGTTGGTGATATGAACCCTACACTACCTTAGAGGACACGAACCTATGGGAGTTGTCGCATATTCCTGATCATCCTGCATTACCATAAGTCCCAAAGGTTAGGGTAACTTAAGGCAATCCTAAACTATGGGAAATAAGTATATTCCTTATGGGTAACGCAGGATTTATATCATCCACCTAAACCCCAAACCCCCTACCCCCTATAGATGCCTTAACGGAACCCCTTAAAGGTACCCTTATAGATCCCTTTGAAGGAACCCCCCAGGATCTGTCTCTCCTGCTCGGGAAGGACCGGCGCCGTCATCATAGCCAGGCTGAGCCAGGGCCCCAGGGTAAAGTAGACCTTGAACTTTCAGTGGTTTAGGGTTTAGGGTTTAGGGTTTAGGGTCCTTGGGGATTTAGGGTTTTAGGGTTTAGGGTTGATAAGGTTTAGGGAGTTTAGGAGGGTTTATAGGGGTTTAGGGGTTTAGGCTTTAAGCTTACGGATTAGTCAAGAAACGATTCCTAAACCTGAAGCCATTATCGCAGAACTGCGTGCCCAGGAGCCGTCTTCCAGAGAAGATTTGACCTCCCAAAACGGCCCAAGGTGTCTTAATCACGTTCCTACATTATTATAGTAAGGAAATAAAGCACCCAAAACAAAAGGCTGCAAAATGGGTCGAGGTCGCTGCCAAGATGACAAGGCCCTCGTCTGCTCCCGGTAGGTCAAAGCATTCCAAGCACCTCCCATGAGGCTGCGAGCTCTAGGGCCCCTGCTTAGGACAAACCCGGAAAATCGCAAGCTGGGGGGTACTTCAGGTTTAGGGCGTGTTCAGTGAAATGTCGAAGTGAGTTACGACGTGAGGTCCGGAAGAGTGGCCTCCGCACGATCAGGAACGGCAATTCTCACAGCAACATTAACTCAGTCAAGCTAGGATTGCCAGGGCAGAATCCAAACGAATCAACGATGCACGATTCAGTAGGGTTTAAGGTTTAGGGTTTGGGGTTTAGGGTTCATGAACCAGTGTCGGTGCGACGCCAGGCCCGGGATCGGCCACCATGGCAGTTCTAGGATGGAGGCTTGCAGGTACTCGGAGGCTCATGGGCAGTAATAAGTACGGTGATAAGTAGGGTAACTATACCTAAGAGGGAACTTTTAGCCCTACTTATAACTACCCATGAACCTCCAAGTACCCATTCCCGGCTCAGTGCACACTTCTGGGTGGCTGCGACCTGCCTCGCCATTACAGCTTTGCTTCTACGCCACAGCGCTCAGAGACCCAAAGCTTGCAGGGTGTCTGCATAAAACTGAAGAGCAAGGAAACGGCACACTACAAATACTATACGTCACAAGTTGTGAGCTTGCAGATGCTCACAACTTGCACTTCGGCGCGACAGTAATTGAACAAGCTCGCTGAACACACGGAAGCACTAGTACCTGTAGCTGTAGCTGTCAGACAATCACCCGTACTCGTCTAAGACACGGAAGTATCGAGGCATGGGAAGGCTGTAGGGATGAGCAATGATGACCCCAGCGCCTAGACTGGTGAGTCGTGTCTCTGCACATTGAAGCAAAACCTAAGCCCGACAAAGTCGTAGAAACCCCTACACAAGACTCTCAAAACTTATTTGGGTAGTCAAAAGAGGGGTTTTAAGTAGGGCAGCTCTCTCTATGTATATATATATATGTATATGTATATATGTAACCCTATTTTGCGAATGTTAACACTACCCATGAACCTCAAGGTATAGCCCCAAACCAGGCCTTGCTCGAAGCCGTTAGGTTCGATTCCCTCGAGCTTCTGCGCATCGTATGCCTCCCAGTAGGAGGGGACGTCCACCTTGGCGGCTGCAAAAGATCGCTGGCTGCGGGCAGCAAGCCTCGATCCAGGTAGAAGAGCTCTACAGAGGCCCTACCCAACAAACCTGCGCGCCTTTGATCACGGCTTGGGGCTAGCAGCAGCTGAAGGTCACAGTTTGCACGCACACCCAGGTCGGACCGAATGTGTCTTCTCTCCCACACTCCCCAAGCTAATCGCAAACCAGAAAGAGAATAGAAAAGCCGGACAACCCAACTTCAGACGGTGTGATGCCAGGCTACTGCGGCCATGTAAGGCACGTAGCCAAGGCAGAAGATCGTCAGGGCTATGGCGAAGTGCAGCCCTGTGAAGCATCCACATCTCGCCTCCGACAACTTCGCAAGGCTGTGGAACTGCGCAATTGTTTTTTGTAAAGTTGCCTTGGGTCACGCTTGGTTCGCCCGTATGAAAAGGATCACATGCCTTTGGGCAACTCCTTGCAGCAAAGATCCTCACATTCATTGCTTGACGTCTGCAACACTAGAGTTCTGCAGTTTCAGATAAGAGGTTTGGAGTTCAGAGCGCAGAGGTTTGGATCTGAGACTTAGGATGCACGACGTGGGATTTGGCAAGGCCTTTGGTTGAAGGCGACGAGCAGGAGCCGTGCATCCGTGTCTGAGCTTGGTTACAAAAGACGGTGGCACCAAATGAAACTGTTTCTGGAGCATATGAGTATTGGGTGTAGTGCTGCCACCATGAACATATTGCTATGATACTATATGTTACTGTCATCTTACTCTTATGTTACCGCCATGTATTACAGTAACTTACTATTATGGTTTGCCACGATATGTTACTGTTATAAGATGAACCCAGTCGCCTCACGTCCAACTTCCGAAGGCGGCTGCTTGCCGAGGCATTCTTGGCTGCGCCTGTAAGCCGCGAAGAGCAGATGCACGTAGACCTGGGGCTTCTCCGTTCCCTTTACAGGAATCCTTAAAAGGGCTATAAGGGCTACCGTAAGGACTTTATAAAGGGGCCTAAGAAACATTACCGATACAGTTTTGGGGGTTCCGGATTACAACTCTAGTATAGTGGGCCCCAAGACCCTAATCTAGCGAACCGTTCAGCTTTGCTCAGGCTCAGGCTTCTCAGTGGCGGCCACAAGAATATTCAGAGACACATTAAAACCCTTAAATAGATGTGAAGACCAAGGGCCGGCAGCCCAATAGCAAAGGCAATGGCCCAGCATGTCTCCTGATACGAGTTTTCGTCATCTACCATGACGGCACAAATACGAAACACTGACGACCGCAGCGGCAACTGCTGCTGCCACTGCTGGTGCTGCTGCTACTGCTGTTGCTGCTAATCCTCTTCCTCCTCCCCGTCCGCCTCCTCCTGTTCCGGCTAGTACTACTTACTACTACGACTTACTACTAACTACCACGAACTGGTCACTAGCTGCTGACTGCTACCAACTACTACTAATTACGACTAACTACTTCCAACTACTGCTACTAACTACTGAATACTGACCCCTGACTACTACTTCTACTACTACTACTCCTCCTCCTCCTACAACTACTACTACTACTACTGCTACTACTACTATACGAATACTACGACGACGACGACCTCCTCCTCCTCCTCCGGCTCCTGCTCCTGCTCCTGCTCCTGCTCCTGCTCCTGCTCCTACTGCTCCTAATGCTCCTGCTGCTTCTGCTGTTTTTTGTTGCATCTACTGCTCGCATCATACTAACACTACTGCTGCTACTGCGACTGCGACTGTGACGACGGCGACAGTGCAAAGAACAATAAACGACCTTCACGACCATGAGTCCTCCAACGCAAACCAGCAGAAAGCCTGTGTGATAGTGCCGGTGAAGGAGAAGCACTCAGCAACGACGATGATGAGAACCTTACTTCTTATCAAAGCTTCGGACTGATGAAGACCCCTCGGCAACTACCATGGTGATCAGTTGACTACATCGCTCTCTCACCAATTTTATCCAGAAAAAGCTTGAGTTGAAACCTCACTCGAGCCGTTCATAGGAGATCAATCTTCACCTACTTTCCACAACTAGAAAAGCGCTGCAAAGTATACTTGACAGGATGGGCCGCCATGCAGATCGAAGTGGCCAGCACGACCGGCAAACAGGCACGTCCTTGCCTGACCTCAAGGACACCCGGAATGCGCTTCAGATTGCTGTTGTTACCCGTACTACTACTGCTACTAGCTATTAGCAGTGGCATTCTTGCATTTGTTACCATTTTTACCACTATTACCAGTACTACTACTATTGCTCCTATTGTTGCTATTACTATCATTACTGTTGCTATTATTAGATGATTATTGTTATTACTGCTTTTGTTGCTGTTATGATTACCAGTACCACTATTTCGCTGCATTGCTATAATTGCCTGTTCTGCGGTTGTTGCTGTCATTGCTGCTACTACTACGAGCTACTACTACACTATCACTAGCAAAACCCACGCGAGCCTTGGGGCCATGTTAAGCTGGGAAGATTCTCGAGTTTACTGGAGCCCACTTTGGGATCGATGCTGTCATGAGCCTGCCAGGAGTCCCCTTGATTGATGTCGTCTAGGCGGCTAGACTCTTATTCTGCGGAGGGCTCCGTGGGGTTTGACCAGTCGCTTCTGTGCGACGTGTTATGTGCAGGATCCTTCGGACAGCATCGAACAGGCAAAGCAAGGACAGGCTCGTGAAGAGCACGAGAATGCCCTGAACTCGAAGCTGTTCTGGGCTCGGGTTCAGCATCTAAGGCGGGGGAGTGTAGAGAAGGATTTAGCTTGTCGTGGGCTTCTCCCAACACTTCAAGCAATCAATGCGAAAGCCGAAACTCCCACCGCAAGTTCAAAAACTCAAACCGAAAATATCAACAGAAAGATGTGGCACCTTGGAGCTACCCCGGCCCTACACAGTCTTTTTCCTGACCTTTTCAGGAGCCTACAGGAGGACAGGAGGCCTGGGCTGCGCAGAAGCTCTGGATGATGGCAATCTGCAGTACCCAGGCCAGCTCCTCCACCGTGGCACAGGCTCCTGGGAAGAGACCCCGAGCCTTAAATTATATATTATTATAATTATTATATTGCTATATTGTTATATTATAATATTATATATTCTATATTCTATAAAGATTAGAGTTCAGACTTGAAGTCCAGTAAGATTCAGCAAGAAACCAGAACCACTGCCGCAAGGAGTCTTCAAGCCCTACATCCTAGAGCCCTTATAGAGCCCTTATGGAACCCTCATAGAGCCGTTATTTATTATATAGAACCCTTTTGAAACCCTTGCAGAGCCCTATCGTAATCTACATTCAGCCTCAAGGTGATCAGGTCCGGGGTTCCGAAAGCATTTACTGGTTTTTCGACTGTAACATAGTGTGAACAAGAGTATAATGTACTGTGGTGGCGGAATAACTCGAAAGGCAACATGAGTGATGCCAAGGGTCGATGGATGAGAATGCTGCTCATCATGTTGTCCCAGAAAACGTACCGGTGAGGGTAGTCTGCCGGAAAGACGCTGCGATATGCGACCTCACCGCGACGACAAAGGAAGAAACTAGGACTCACAGGACTGTGGATATCTCCACTGCCTTACTGCCGTGGTACTTGTTGCATGTGCGGAGAAGAAAAAGAAGAAGGAGAGGCATGTAAGTAAAAGAAGAGGGAGGAACCTGCAGGTGGCACCGGTCAAGCAATCTCAGTTTGTAATAAATTCTGAGGCGCGCAATGCCAGAAGCCGGAAGCCCTTCGAACAGTTGATCATGAAGCCTATTTTTTTTGCGACAATCACGAGCTCCGACAGCTTCGAAATCTCGAACCATCTCCGCAATTAGCAGGCAAGCCACCACAAGGACGTAGACTGCACCAAGCCAGCGCAAGCTAAACCGATACCAGTACGGCCGAGCGTCTTCCTCTTCTGTGGGGGGCTTCACAGCACTGAAGTAAAGGGTTCAATTTTGGGGCCTGTGGGCTCTGCAATGGTTATCTGATCTAGGAAATAGAACGCCGAGGTGGCATTTACAGCATCGCAGCTATCTCAGCTGAACTACCTCGAACCGCCTCCAGCTGAGCTGCACCTTAAGCATACTGAAGGCAGGGTCTGTTTTAAACTCAGACACACACACACACACACACACGCACCCACAACCTCCACCAGTCTACAGCACTGCTAACTTCCTGCTGAGTCTTGAGCTTATCCCTCCGCAAAAGTCAAAGTGCCCAGCCCCTACACGACCCCCACATGTCAAACACGAAAAATCATATCCAGTCACAGTCCACCTGCTGCAGAACTGCTAAACCCAAACACCCCGCAATTCCTTCCTGCCCCCGGAAGCCCTTCGACTCCAGCACACCCCCGACCTGGGCAACAGGCATCTAACCACAGTACGCCTACCGAACACCAATGTCGAACCCGGTATACAATTAGATAGATAAATAGGCTCTATCAGATAGATAGATAGATTCTATCAGATAGATAGATAGATAGTATACCATACACTACACTATATAGCGTTCTGTATTTCCATGCCGAGGATCCGAGGGCTTGCCACATCGCAGCAGAAACAAGGCTAGGCAAAGGTTCCTTGCGAGACTTCTGTCGGTTGGGGTTCGGGTATGGAACGGTTCGGGGATGCATAGTCCTCCTCAGACCATTGTCCGGCAAGGTTGTAGGGTTCAAGAATGCGTGAGCAACAACTGCTTCCGGTGGCGATTGTCTTGAAAAAAACTATCTTCCGAGCTTCAAGACGTGATGGCGGGGAAAGGACTTCTTCGCTGTAGTCGCTTCCGAAAATTGGAGGTACCCTATTTTGAGGTCCTGATCATGAGTCTCGGAATCTCCCATGTGGCTCCGTGTACAGCTTGGAATCAAGCCTAAGACTCACCCGCTTGCCTTGATTTGACTGGCAACCTTTGATCCCGAGGCACTCCAACTTGCTTACGGCGTTGACGAGTGCTTCGGCAATGGCAAAACCACACATGAAGAGGCCCTGAAACATGAGACCATCACATAAACCACTCAAAAGAGACACCAGTAGGAGACCTCCGCACAGCTGCTCGCTCGCATGCTTCTGACTTGTGGCTTGGGGCCAAGACAACTACAAAACACGAAATCCAAACATCCTTAAACCCTGGAGCCTACATATCCTAAACCCAGCGTACCATAAACCTCGAGCTTCCCTGAAGCCTGCACTGGAGGTTTCTAGCCGTTATATCGTCACTAGCAGTAAACTAGCTCGAGCAAGTGCTGTCCGGCCACAGCAAGGCCATGGAACAGAGGAAGGAGTACCAGGCCACAGCCCAAGCCGGCCAGGCAGTTTGCGCCATGCTTCAAGCGAGGCTCTGCGGCCACAAACTCGGACTAAGCTACCAAGAACCTTGATCCGTGCAGTCATGTACCAGTACGATTCTCGATCTTCACTTCCAAACATCTACCCCTCACGAGGCCTATCTGAATCCAGTACATAAGTGAGTTGAAATGGTCCCTCTTTGTCTGCCTCAAGAATTTTGCAAGTGCAAGTTCTGTCTGTGGACCGTCTTGCACAGTTTGTGGGGGCCGCTCTGTCCGGGAACGCCCACTGCGACTTTAAAGCATATGCATGCACAAGCCTGCAAGAAGCCCCTTACTGACGGTAAGCAGCACCGCATCATGCACCCTTGAGCCCTGCACACCGAAAAATTTGAAGACCCCTTCATACCCCCCAAACCCCAAGGCCATTTTTGTGGTAGACATTCATCCTTGCTGGCAGCCCTATGGTAACCGTTATGATAAACCCGCTTACCCCTCCTAGGAACCCTTGCAGCTTACCTAATCGAGAAGCTCTCTTAAGACGCCCTTATCCTCCTCGGAAAGCCGCCCTTATCCTCGGCCCTACGCCCCGGTCCGCGGAATTCGTCGTAAGGGGCACCGCAGTCTCTGGAGACCATCGGCCCAGGACTGGGGCTGAGCCAACCACGAAAACCTGGCAGGGCTGAGAAAGCTTTCTATCAGGGTACTTTGAAGTGTAAATTTAAAGTGCTTCTCGGATTTTTCTAGGTTCTCGAGCTTTTCTGTTGTGTTTTCTTCGTCCGCTTGCTCCTGCGACTCTGAGCGCCACCGCCACCACCACGAAACCCACCACCAATGGCATTACAAACCCCCTCCAGGATCCCCGCTGGGAGTACTCCTGCAAGCGCCGAGCTTCCGCCTATTAGGGTTAATCGAGAGCAGGAGGGTCACAAACCAGATGTCCACTTTGCCCATCCCAGAATCACAACTATAGATGCAGCAGCAAGTACTACTATTATTTTTGCTAGTGTTATTCTTACTAACATGTCATTCTTATGATTATTTCGCCCATCGCTGTTATTACGGCAGATCGACCCGGGCCTTCTCCCCTGGCTGCGTATTTTGGCAGCGGACTCGAAAGATGACATGGGCGGACATGCTGGCTCAAACGCTTCGGAAGGGAAACAACTTTACGCTGAAGCTGGGGCTGAATGTCTCGAAGTTCGGCATGTGCTGCTGTGTTCAGCCCAGTAGCCATAGCAAAAGAGTCCGCAAAGATAACGGAAGCAGCCAGCTGTACAACTGCGACACATGGAAGCCCAAATCTTTGAGCCGACCTAGCATGCTGCTGTTCCTGCCTGCAAGTGTCGAAGCAGACTCGCACCTTCAACAAGAACCTGAATACTGTATGAGCGCAGATTGGCTCAGAATCGAGCTTACGAAATCTCTTTCTGGATCGCCTCTACCACTGCTGCTTCTGGAACTAAACAGGTTGGCAGAGAAGTACGAGGACATGACACGATCACAGGGATGACGATGCCGATGGTGAGAAGCCCGATGAGTTATACACTCATGGTAGCTGCCCATGCCGATGATGAGGGTGGTGATGATATGTGATGATGATAACCGTGATGATGATAGCTGTGGCGACGAACGAAGACTGTCATGATGACCATGGTATCCGTCGTAAACAACGATGGCTTTGAGAAGTACGATGATAATGTTCTGCACAAGAAGCAAATGGCAAGGGTGATAGTTAAAACGTGCAAGAGGATGCTGATGATGCCAACGATTGGGATGTGATCATATCAGATGACTCCGTCGCCCGGTGGACATGGCGAAGTAGTCGCATACTTCTCGTGACCCTGATCACGGTTATTTTGCGTTAGCGTGATTCTGCTGGAAACCAGAACCTCAGATAATCTGAACCCCAAACTTTGCGAAACCTATATACCCTCCCCCTACCTGAAGCAGCAGAGATCATCAGAAGCATGACAGCCCATTCCTTCTGAAAGTCCAGACGTGGTCTGCTCACGCCGGCCAGTCCGCCCCAGAGAACCCCCAGGTTCTAACATCCTGACATGCCTCTCGACGTCGCCCTTTGGACAGGAGACTTCCTTTGCATGTTGTGAGAATGACTGGGTGCCGTTACTGTCTCATCGTACGGGTACACTGCTGGGGCTCAACTGTTCTGTCGTCGCACTGCGCTATCAAGCAAGAGCGGAAGACAGTCTGCCGCATCAGGAACACCACTTTAGGAAACCTTGCTTGTTTGAGCGGTGGTACCGGTTCAAGGCTAAAAGTTTAGGAGAATCTTGGATTCAGGGTTTCGCTTCATGACGGCTGTTTCCTTGCAGCTTGCAGAAAAGGTCGATGGTCGATATCCTCTAGCCTTATCGCATCTCAATGACCAATCATCCCGATGCTGAACTGATCTTAATTACGGTCTGGACCTGGTAACTTCTTGTCCGTAGTGTGTGCGATCGTCCATGATGTCTTCTTTTTTACACCAGACCCAACGTCGATACGTAATACGTCTACGTCATGTGCATGTTCGTTGGTCTTGCGACCTTGTGTAATAGTTACAACAATATTGTGTTCCTGTCCGCCTTGGCACTCCCGGCTTACCTCCCATCGTACGATAGCTGGTCTAAGAAGACCCTACGCCCAAAAGCCTCGTTTTTCAATCCCGGATGCCGTGAACCCGACGAGTCTTCCACCTGCACCGTCCGATGCTTCCAATGGGAGTAGCAACTCCCTAACTGACTTGCCGTGCCCGTCACAAGCTCAAGTCTCTTCCAACCTTTGAATTGAAAACCTCAAACCGCTAATGCAAAGAGCCAGGCCGAAACTGCCCCGAAATCCAGGCGAGAAACAACATCTTCAAGGCAGCCATGGTGGAGGACACGGGCATGCACGTGTTGTTGAAACTAGTTCATGCGGTTGTTGTTTTGGTGAAAAACGTCATTGCTGTTGTGATTGTTATGAGCTCTAGTTGCATGATCCACAGGACAGTCTGTTGCAAACAACGCCCCTATGTGAGGCACTGAATAGATTGAGACGGAACTGGACAAACATTTACAACATTTTCCAGCATGTCAAATTGCGATAGTCGAAACTTGGTGAACAAAAACAAGCGGCTGCACATTGGCATCAGACTGACGCAGACTTGTGGAGAACTCACCTGAAACCTTCCTTAAACCGTAAACACCTCAATGCTGCTTCGTGCCGCTTCCCACATCTACTGGGTTCTTGATAAGGGACTTAATTTTAGTTACCATGATACGGTTCAATGGTAAATAACAGGATTTCCTTGTTATGTTTATGGTGACTGAAATTACATCCCTGACCAAGAACCCGCACTTCCCACGTCTACATCCTCCAGGCATGCTTGGAAGTCGCCACGACCAGTTCTGCATTGGTTTTCCACACTGTAACTCTTGGGCAATGGTGCAAACTTTCGCCATATCATCAGCCGTTTGCAACAAGAAGCATCCAGAGAAGTGATCAGAAAAGACCATTCAAAAACAGACGTTCCAAACAAAGGTTTGCATTCTTCTGCAGCAAAAAAGAGCCGGAAACCTGCTGCGAAAGCTCAAAAACAAGCACCACCTGCGCGGATGGATGTCATGGCAGCAAGCCGGTTGGAGAGGCAGAAAACTTGAGTCTTCCCTTGCAGGCCAAAAGTGCGCACTGAAAGAAGCTGAAGATGAGGACATGCTGGAAGTTCTTGCTGGTCCACTAGCGAAAACTGAAAAGACCAGTCGGCACGATAACCGCTTTGGCTCGGCTTCAGTGGGTGTTCGCCCCGGCACATCTTCCAATACTTGCATAGGTGAAACATCAGAGCATAAGAAAACCAGCGTTTCCACGGTCTCGTCATCATGCCGCATGCTGGTCGCACTGTCTGCTCCGAATGACTGCAACGCCAAACGAGCGGCTTCGCAATCCTTCTTTTTGCGTCAGTGGGCTTCCTCGACTGCGGCAGCAGCATTGTCCCGAAAACCAAACACTGCAAACACAACAAACAACTTACAAGGTGAAACGGGTTCCTAAACTGGAAACTGCTTGTCAGCACTGACCGTTCAGACAATCTACGGCGCCTCAGCGACTGGTCAGCCGTTGCTCAGCGTCGTCCAAACAACAGGCGGACCAACACAGCTTCTCGCTGCGGCGTGCGGACTTGGTCGGCATGGACCGTTACCGGGCAGAGTCCAAGTCAAGACTCCGGCTGCCGCAGTCTCACTAGATAATTTTTTTCGCGTCTGCGGGCTCTCGGTCTTTGAAACACACACAAACCAACAGACACGCCAACCGACACTGAGAGAGAGCTGCATACACGAACTGCGGCGTGCGAACTTGGTCTGCATGCCGTTCAGCGCAAACGGTCCTCTTTCAACGACTGCGCTTGAACAATAATGCACCGTCGTCCAAGCTGTCTGACAACGAAAGGAGCCCAAGTTGGCAGTGCAGAGCAGAATGGGCCGGCAACAATGGGCACGCATCAAGCGTCCGGCAAAAATTTCCTTCTGGGTTTTAATGCGAGCAGAAAAAGTGGAAGCTTTGCTGGTCGTAGAACTTTGGCAGCATTGGTGGTGTCGCGTTGGCGGCCGGGTCGGAACGCGCAGCCAAGATGAGCTTGGAAGTGAGATGTTGGAGAGGTCGACCACATTCGCTGCTTGGCTTTCGCGTCTCTTGTCAGAAAACGCCATGCGCGAATGCATTGCGTACAATGGCGCGATGACACAAAACTCAGACACCGACCTTGTTATTTTCCAAGACCTCGTTGTTTAGGCACACAGTAAACTGTAACACCTTGATGTGGTCTTCGTCACCAAATCCATGCCTGCTTCAAGGACGTTAGAAACATGCTGGGGGAAATCGAGAAACTTCTGCAAGGACGTCACTGTTCTGTCACGCTCTCCTACGCCTGCTGCGAGGACGCTTACGAGGACGCTACAAGGACATCACAAGAAGTACAAATTACTAGGAGGACGTCACTTTTCAATGCAAGATGTTCATGTTCTTGATTTCACAGATTGAGAAAGTGGCATCCTCG